CCCATCGGCGGAGAAATCTGCGTCCGCTCTGACGCGGGCCCGTGCTCCACCTTCCATTCCTCCAGAGACATCGCCTCATAGAAGATTGCCTCCACGGTTGTGATAATGCGGTTGGCGGTAAGGTCTAGCACCTCCCATCCCTTGCTCTCCGGCGAAACACCGAGGTGAATTCCCCAGCGTGCCTTTGGTGCCAACTTTCCGCCACGCTGCTGCTCCGGGATCATGAACTGCACCATGCAGCCCCACACGCGCGCCAGCGTGAGATCCGGCTTCTTCTTGAACAGCAGTTCGTACGGCGTCGTCCTGGGAGGAAGTGAAGCCCGTGCCACCATACGGCGTGGCGAAGGGCGAGGTGCCACCAGTGATGCTTCACCCCCATGAGAAGCAGCTTCGTCCGTACAGTTTCGACGACCGGGCGCATCTCCCGCTCCGCCATGCCATTCTGCTGCGGAGTGTAGGGGCAGGTGAGGTTGTGGACGATACCCTTGTCCTCGACCAGGTCTGTGAATGCCCTACGGAGGAACTCCCCTCCGCGGTCAGAGCGCAACCGTTTCACCGACTTCGACGTCTGCCGCTCCACCTCCTTCAGCCACTTCTCTAACACTCAGAGCACGTCGCTCTTTTTCGCGATCGGAGAGACCCACACAAAGCGAGTCTTGCGGTCCCTGAGGAGGAGAAAATAGAGGCTCCCATCCATGGCGGCCACGCAAAAGGGGCCGCAGAGGTCAATGTGCACGACGTCGAGCGCGGTTTCAGCGTCCGATCCCTTCTCCGGAAAAGAATGACGCGCCTTTTTGCCGTCGACATAGGAGGTACACGGCACATCAGCTCCAGTTGACTTCTCGATGTCCAGGCCGATGGCAACTTCATGTTTTGCCAAACTCATAATTGTGCCAATGCCGACATGCGCGAGCCTTGCGTGCCACTTAACCGGCTTGGACTTCGTCGCCGATACGATCGTCCGCAGAGCAACTGCTTTTGTCGCAGATGTAGTCGATTTCAAGGAGCAGGGGCGGAGGTCGGTGCAGAGGATTCGGCCGGTGTATCCACGCACGTGACGGATTTCACCTCCTGGCTTCATGTCGACGAAGGCCTCTCGTGTTCCCATCAGATGATGAGAGCAGCCGCTGTCGAGGAGCACCACGCTCGGATTCGCCTGCACCGCCGCAGCGACCGCCTGGAAGTCTTCTCTAGCCTCCGGCGCCAGTGAAATAGTTGGCTCAACCACTCCAACCATCGAACAAGAGGCTTCCTTGCCGCTCGAGGTGTCTTCCTCTGATTTCGACGGCGTTTTCGATGACGCTGGCTTCTCCTTGCGCGGCTGGTGGTCTGGGCTTGGCTCCACTCCGCTGAGGAGAAAGGCGTCGACCATTGATGTTGTCATTCGAGCTTCCCGCTGCTGCCGTTGACCGCAACACTTGCGCCTGCACTCCGCCGACGCCGACGTCAGCGGCCCGAATCACTCCACGAAGCCTCGTGCTGCCTTCGCTGCCAACTTGGTTACCACCGACGACCTGGTCGTCGACGCCTCCTTCGTTGCGTGCCGGTCGGGGAGTGGCGGGCAGACCATCCGCCTCAGTATAGGTCGTTGGGTGATCGCGCGCCCATTGCACTCGGGTTCCAAATAGCATAACATCCAAATTCGCTCCGCCGTACTCGCCACCTGCGTGGCGTGCCCGAACGTCATCTAACCGCGCCTGCAGGGTATCCTCTACGCATGCAGCGACCTCCTCGTGGTCAACCATGGCGGTCTAGACGGTTGCCGGCCTACTGCAACTTAGGTAATTAATACAGAAGTCAGCTAATCTGAAGGTCCTAACGCCGGGCCGTTCCACGCTCACCGCACCATGCGGAGAGTCACCCTACAATGGGAGTGGACAACGAAGGAGGGGACGGGGTTGTGTGGGTGATCGCAGTGCTCTAGTAGCGTTCTAACAGAGTTCTCACTACTTCTTCTGTTCACAGAGAGTTTTGACAAGAGTTTCCACTAAGGAAATTGAAAAAACATTGAAAATTGAGAATTAGAGTACAAAGAAAAGCATGCAAGTGATATCACTAGAATGGCATTGCAATCCCTAGCAATCATTCTGCAAGGCGAATTGCCAGCACTGCATCAGAGAGGTTCGCCAACGCTGAAACAGGGCAGCCTGCCAGTATAGCAGAAGGGCGACATGCCAGCGCTGCAACAGGGCGGCCTGCCAGCACTGCATTCGCAGGTGAATATCTGCGCAGGTGTGCACATGCCGAGTAGGTGCAGGCAGACGGTTACACCGTCAGAGACATTGCGCAGGTGCCAGGTAGAAAACGCTCCGACGGTTTTGTCAGATGTCCACCGTCGAGCACGTGATGCCATTTTGCAGGTCGAATTTCGCTAAGAGCCACCTGAGCGAATTCCGCATGCCTTCGCAGAGTTCCGCAGTCGTGCGAATTCGGCGAACCAGTTCGCCGAAATGAGACTCGCCGAACAGCGCCCTTCGATCAGAGAACGAGGCTCTTCGGATTGCACCCCGTCTGTCAGAGATCCCGCGACTCACTGGCGGATCAGAGGACGAGCTCGTCGAACAGCACCCCGTCGACCAGAGGACAACCTCCTCGGAAACTACCCTCGGTTTCAGAGGACGGGCTGTTCCAATGCGACGATCACTTCGTCGAATTCACCACGTCGTCGCAGCGAATGCCTGCGCCCAAGCGAGGGCGGGGCCTTTCACTCCGATAGGAACAGCGTCGAGGCGAATGTCGCGAGTGGTAACGGATTAGTGTTGGGTGCTGTTGGCGGGAACAGTGTTGAACGCGCTGAGCAGGGACACGAAGTAAGGAAAAGGAATTTTCCTTACAGGTATGAATCGATCGAATGATCGGGCAATTCATAGGAGACGCAACGGCGGTGTTCGCCAGCACATCTAAAAAATGAAAGGCCTCGGAATGGCCGTGGAATCACAAACCAGAGGAGGAACCTCCCGAATAGGTGTGGGGGGTATGGACAAATCGCGAAATTTCGCGCTAGAAAGGGTAAGGGTGGCAACGGGATCAGGAACCACACTCCCCACCTTCCAATTCCCGATCCCCACCTTCCCCATCCTTCCAAACCCATGGCCATTCCAAGGCAATTCTGCTGGGGGGGGTGAATGGCGATGGAATCGCAGCGGGACCAACGTTTGCCTGTAGAGGAAGCTCCCGACCCACTTTCCTACCTTCAAGGCCCTGTTCGGCTGCACAAAAAGCGGTCACAACCAAACAATAGCCAACCACAAACAGAACAAACCAAACAGTTTTTGAGGCTCGGCACGCCTGATGACTCATGGTGACGTGTAAAACTTCCCTACTATTGGTCGTATTTCCGAACGTCTTTCCTAACCATAATCGTATTTGTTTTAGGTTTGTTGTTGGTTCCATGACAACCCAACAGTGCCAACCAACAAGAAGTGCACAGTAATTCAGGGGCAAAATGATGTGCATTGCTGGTTGGTTTTTGGTTGGGTGCTGATCCTGCTTTGAACGTGGGTGAGAATGGTTGTGAGTTCATTGCGAGCTTTATGCAGACTGCTGATTGGCTAAATCACAAATTGTGCGCTTCATGCTTTCATTCTGCGCTTTCCAGGAATTATTTTCCCAGGTTCCTCGAAGCAAGGTATAGGTAGTTGTGTTAGTTGGGTTTAGAATTGTGCTGTCATGGTTGTTGACTTTTGCGGGCAACATGCGAGACCAGGCCCACGTTTGCGTGTCTGGTTGTACAGCTGGAAGGGTATAAAAGTAACCACGTTGGTTTTGTTTTGTAGTTGGCCTAGCTTCGGTCCGAGGCTGTCTTGTCGTTCCGGTTTGTTGAGTTGTTGGTCAGATGTGCTTGGCAGCATGGTATATCTCAACGCGCCGACTACATCCGGGTGCAAAAAACGACGCGGCTCGGGAAAGGGATCCGCCACCCTGCGTCATCCTGTCCGGCTAACTGAGTGCACGTCCTGGGCAACAAGCGTCACCCTGCGTCGCCCGGCAATCCCGATGAGACAAACCCCGATGGCACCTCTCAACGAACCCTCCGTACGAGGTCGACACGTCGACGACGCCGGTCGCGGCCACCTTGCCACGACGTCCAGCTTTCCATCGGCGCGGACTGCGACGTGAGGCCCACCGCGATTCCTGGCCGACCACTGCTCTGGCGCGCAGAGCCACACGTCGCCCATCCGAAACACAACATTCCACGCGGCGAACATTGATCGACGAACGTCTGTCCACGCGGCCATCAAGCCTTCGCTGGCCTGCTGTCGGGAACATGCCCGCGGGATACCATCGTCGGGCGACGCGATGAGCACTACTGCGTCACGCCGACGTGTAAGCACGGTTCACCGTGATGGGAACACCACACAGTCGGCTGCGAAGAAGACATGCGTGTCCCGTGCCACGTCGACCATTGCGCCGCCGTTCTGCCTGGCATGCAGGGTTGGAGACCTGCCCACGGATCGCCCGCCAACACCTGTCCGCCCGAACCGAGACTGTGCCTCTCTATGCTATGACCCCTTGACGGCCAAGTGTCCATGGCATTTCGTCACTTGTTTGTTGTGTTGCATTCATTTTCATTCTGGTGAGCCACATTTCCCTCAGTCATTTTCACGCTTCTCGGAGACCGACCGACCACGCGTGGTGCAGGGTCGACGACGAGCCACGCCGGTGTAGAGTGCGTTTAGGTCGGCAAACTGTACGGGCTTCCGACTTAGAATCATTCCGACTAGGACGACTAGCTAGGTCGACAACAACCGAAAGTCACCCAGCAGAACACTAATCCGCCGCCCTTACTTCCCGAAATTCCCGAACTGACCGACATTGCCGCGGAGTTGACGATCGCCGAGAACGTTGAGAGGGCCGAAAGACGGGCGGCCTTTAGGGCCACGGTGCGAAGGCAATACACGGTAGCGATTGTGCAGTATCGACTTTGGTGGGCCGAGCACGTACCGCCGCGAGACTGCGGCGACAACTAGAGGTCGACGGGAACAACTCTACCCGCCGAGATGGCTGGCGTCGCGCCGCCGGCGGGGAGCAGCGCGATTCCCGACCTGAACGAGCCTTTCATGGAGGAAGATGTAGACGCCACTAGGGCAAATATTCCCGCCGACATGGTGGTCGACGTAGACGCCGCTAGGGCAAAAATTCCCGTCGACCCGACCATCCCCCTACCGCCAGGGACGAAAGGGGCTCCCGAACCCGAGCCGGACCGGTACTCGCCGCGTTCGGACACGGAGCAGCCACCGCCAATTGGACCATTTCCAGAAAACGACTACGTGTATCTGACCGTAGAGGACTTGTTGGCAGCCGACGAGAAAGATGACGCCTTCCTGCAAAACATTCCGCGCGACGATTTTGCGGAAGCCGCCTTCGACATCAACAAAGAGTTCGCCAAGAAGAACAGATTGCTGAGGATGATGTGGGGTTTCCGGCATCTGGACACGCTGGAGGCGAGAACGACCCGGGTTCAGTACCTGCGGGCGCTGCTCGACTTCAGGAGATGGTGCTGCGCGAACCTTCCAAGACAGCAAACCGCCAGAGTCAAGGGGGACGGCCTGCTGGAACACGAGGACGAGATAGGGAGGTACATCGACGAAGACATGGGTGATCAGTGGCACACAGCCAAGGGCGACCTACAATGGATGCACGGTCCCCGCGTCAACGCCACGCGGATCAGGGCGTACATTCTGTCAATCGCGAGGCAGCACGGTATTGCAAAGGCCGAGGAGCTCGAGGAGCTGAATCCCGACGTCCGTGTCCAGCCCCTGAAGCCGACAACCGTTTCGATGCTGCTCATCCGCATCAAAGCGCTCCAGATAGCCTGCAAGGTCGAGGGGACGCTCTTCGGGGTGAAGGAGCTCCACATCATGTACGACATCTCCGAGGTCCGCCGGAGGTGCGCGCGATGGTCAGAGAGAAGTGGCACAGGGACGACAGGTAAGTCGGCAAGTCGTCCCGCGCCTGTTTCCCGGTTCGCCCAGCTAACCCAGTCCTCGTGGAAACTGATGTGCAGGGATTGCGTCGACCGGCACCGCGGAACGCTCGGCGACACGTACACCACCGACCAGATCCGCCACCTCATGTTCAAGGTCTTGCCAACCTGGGCAGCTCGGGCGTACGAACCCAAAGCGGCCACCCCCTCCCAGACACTGTGGAAGTTTCTGCTGATGAAGACGATGACCCTCTTGGGTCACCACACCCTTCTCCGCGGAGCCAGTCTCCGAGCGATCGAGCTCCCCGACCTGTTTTTGTACAGAATGGGGAGCGCGTCGCCCGAGCACTCCACGCGACGGCCGGTTGTCATGGTCGTCGCGTCACGAAACTCCAAGACGAACAAGGATGCTCGTTTGCATCACAGCTACGCGGCGAGACACCTGGAGCAAGAGATGTGCGCCGTCGGTCACACATTGTTGTGGCTGCACTTCGTGTACGACCAGCTGAGCCGCTCGCCCACCTCTCGATGTGTGCCGCCCCTCGACTTCACAACTCCGTACAGCTGGTATCACAAGCACCTCTTTCATGCTCGGAATGACAAGGCACAAAAAGAGCTGCCGGCTTCATCTCATTCTCGGATCACGAAAGAGATGTGGCGGACGAACAAGATCTTCATCACGTGCAACACCCACGCCGCCCGGGCGGGTGGGGCACAGGAGCTGGCCGACGACGGCGTTCCGCGATCTGACATCGCCGACTTGGGCCACTGGGCGCTCGACAAACTCGTGAAGAGCTACATCACGACCATCCCGAAGGCGGCGGTGTTGAGAAAGGTCGGCTACACGGGCAAGCACGGTGACTACCACCTCGGCCGGAGCATGGTGAAGCCCGACGACAAGGTGGTGGCCCTCATCGCCCAGCACATCTTTCCGTGGGCTGAAGCGGAACTGGCCAAGGTGAGCATTTCGGACGGCAAAAACGCCGACAACTCGCCGACCATCTCCACGACGACATTATACCGACGGCTGATTGTGTTTGTGTTTGTGTTCGACTCGCAGGCGGTAAGGTGTGCATCCGCGAGAGAGCCCAACACGACCGGGGTGCACTTCCTGCAATCGCTCATCGAGTTCGGCCGCCGAATTGTCGCCGAGGATCTTGCGTGCATGCTGATGCGCGAACCGTGGCACCCGTACGTCCAGAGTTCCAAGCTCTGCCGCGACCTCGACTTCCGGAAATGGGACAAGGACGTCAACAGGGTGGACCTCGAAACCATCGCGACGCGCAACTCCGAGCGAGGACCCCCAAGAGGTAGGGCGTGCGCGTTCCGACGACCTGTAAAACAAGTCGTCCTGCCACATTGGCTCACCTTTTGCCGACCATCCCCCTTGGATTGCAGGAATTCAGCGCGCGAGTCGACGCCGAATATCAGGTCGACCAGCTCACCATGATGCTGCACCGCCAGAGGGAGGATGCCGAGATCGAGAAGCTTGAGATGCAGAAGAAGTTGGAGGAGAAGGACGCGGAGATCGCGAAGTTGATGCAGGCTCTCAAGCTGGCCGAGGCACGGCCGACGCCGACTGCGCCGACACCGTCAAGGCCGATGACCGCCGCCGAGAAGGAAACGTCTGTCAAGATCGAGAAGGAACAGGACGATGACCTGACGTACGAGGTCAGCGTCGTGCATCCCTGGCGCACATCCAAGACGGTCGAGGCTGCATGGCGCTGGTGGAACAACCCGTCCAACTTCGACTCGCGTCCGTTGCGCGAACGTTACGACGAGCACAGATTCCTCGTCAGACACACGCGCATGATCTGCAAGGTCGAAAAGGGCGACAAACCCGCCGCGTCGGCGAAGTCGGCGAAGAGCTCTCGTCCCACGACCGAGGTGGGTGAGACGGGGAAAAACGATGCGCTGCAGCAATGCACTCGCCGGATGAGGCGGATCATGGAAGCGGTGCACGACTTGCGGCGAAGCGACGACGCCGCTGACACCGCCGCCGTCATCAAGCTACTCGACCACCTGGGGCGAGCGGGGCTTTCCACTTTCAGCGACGCGCTCTTGGTCCTCCGTGCAACCCCGCCCATCAAGGTCTTCACCACAGCCGACGGAAAGTCGGTCGGCATCAAGGGTCTGGACAAGCCGCTGGCGAGGAAGCTCGCCGTTGCGTGGGGCGTGGTCACGGCGGGCTACATGGACGCTGACTGGGGAAAGAGGCTCTTCGGCGACTTGTGGGATGAGCAGGCCAATAAGGCCGGCTTGGAGGCCGAGGCGACTGCGGGAGCCATCGGCGCAGGGAAGCGCAAGAGGGCGGGCTGAGGGTACTACGTCTGGGTCCGACTTGTGCTGCTGGCTGAGCGTGGTGTGACTGAGGGTGGGTTGAGGGCGGTTTTCTTTTACTGCCAACATTGTTTCGACTTGTAAATTAGTAGAAGTTTGTCTATTGTTCATGCATCAAACCGACTCCACACCACAAAACCTACTTCACAATGTTTCTAAAAAAACTACCGACGAACAAGTTCAGCATCACTAAGCCGGAGAGGCACAACAAAACAACAAAACAGCGTTTGTAGGTCTTCAAGCCTGCAGCGTTTGCACCCACGCCGACCATGCTACGAGCAGGCGGGCCAGCCTTCGTCGACCTAGGCGTCGGCGACTTGCTTCCCTTTGTGCTGCTGCCCCCTCGCCCCCCTGTCCCGAATGATAATCTTCATCTGGGGGTCGATAGGCAAATGGACGCCGCGAGCCTTGAGCATCGGGCCTCCGACATTGCAGTCCCCCTAGAAGGCGAGGTTCTCTATCATGACACGGGCGATCAGCTCGTCGTGCTCGCGCTCCTCTCCGACCTCAGGCAGCGACCTCACCACAGCCGCCTGCAGGTCCTTCGTCACCGTTTCGGCGACCTCCCCTACGACGACCACCCGGGAGGTCGCCCGCTGAAGCACCGCCTCGATGACGGTCCGACACCGACTCGCGAACTCGTTGGACGCTCCGCGCACGGTCGCTGCCGCCCCCCCTTCGCCGGCCGCTACTTCCGCCGTGGCATTGGTCTCCGAAAAACACCACACCGCGGCCGCAGTACTGGCGAGGATCTCGGACAACCGCTCCGACCCGACGCCCGGAATGGGCGTCACTTTCGCGGCCACCGGTGCGAAGGCGGCACACATCGAAACGCGTGCGATCATGTCGCTCGCCACCTTGTTCTTCGCGGCCTTCTCGGGCTCGGTCGACTCCGGAAGGTCGCCGAACCACACCGCCGGGCGAAGAGCCAACATGAGAGCTGCGCGGTCGGCTCCGGTTATCCTGTTGTATTCCGCGACCACCTGTTGGAACCTACGAAACACAGCAGGAATACCCACCGTCACCGACCGGCCCACGCGTACCGACCGAAACGAGCACCAAATTGAGCATTCGCCAAGCTTACCTGTCGCGGAAGACGTTTGCCCCTCGGCTCCACATGACCATCCACATGCCCCCCGGAATCAATCGCGCCACATTCCAGTCCGCCTTATACTGCGCCATCACTTCCTCCTTGACCCCACCGAACTCGTCGAGAACGACGTCGCTGACGAAGCCGTCGAACGACGAAACGGCGACAGCAATGCAATAGGCGGCCTCGGACTTGTCCATCGACCGACAGATGTAACGGCTCTTCTTCCCAAACTTCATCTCTGAGACGGCCAGCCCACTTGAAGGGTCAACGCGGACGCCTGAACCCTTCCGACCCTGCGCGGCCGCTTTGGACGTCCCCTTGGAAGAGCCGACCTTCAGCGGGCCGCCCTTCGCCTTGTCCTTGCCCTTGCGCTTCTGCTTCCCATCGCCGACCTCACCGGTTGTGGCCGGGGGGGATTTGGCGCTAGCCGCGCTATGGTCCTCCGCAGGAGCAGTCGAGGCGGCTGGTGCACCCTGTTGCGCTCCCACGGTGGGAGCTGCTGCTTGTAGTTTTTCCCGCATGACCTCGATTTCCGGGTCCGGCATCACGATGCTGGCGAGGATCTCTTCGTCCACCCCGCCGGCCTCTTCCGCCGCTCTCCACACAGCCGCCTCCACCGTTGAGCCACTCGGCCCTGCAGTCACCGCCGCGACGTTCTCTGCCTCTGCTCCTTGGTCGACCACCTGGTTGCTGTGAGTCGGAGGAATTACTGGGGTTTTCTGACCCTGATCCTCGAGCCATTTTAGATACTCGTCGTACGATGGCTTTTGAGTGATTAGAGCCTCGACCGCCCGAGACTCAACAGCCGTTGGGATCGGGATCGGTTCCGCGGCGACCATGGCCCCATGAACGGATAAGCTGGCCGCACCGGCAGCCTGCTGGACATGCTGTCCGACCACCGCTGCTGGGCGCAAAAGCTCGTCGACCAGTGCCGTGACACCACCCGGTCGCGCGTCACGTGCAGTGGCAGGACTCGTCGCGGTGTGGGGATGCTGGCCCGCCGCGGCCTGCTGGACATGCTGTCCGACCACGGATGCTGGGCGCAAGAGCTCGTCGACTAGCGCCGTGGCGCCAGCTGGACGCGCGTCCTGTGCAATCGCCGGACTCGTCGCGGTGGGGGTATGCTGGCCCGTACCTGGCGGCCCGCCCTGCTGTCCGACCACCGCTGCTGGGCGCAAGAGCTCGTCGACCAGCGCCGTGACGCCAGCCGGACGCGCGTCTTGTGCGGTCGGCGTGCTCATCGACGGGTGAAGATGCTGGCCCGCACCGAGCGGCCCGCCCTGCTGTCCGACCACCGCTGCGGGGCGCAGGAGGTCGTCGGGCAGCTGCGCTGTGACGCCGGTCGGTCGCGCAGTCGGCGTACTCGTCGAGGGTTGAACATGCTGGACCGCAACATGCCTGGCCGACCACCGCTGCGACGTGCATGTCGTCTGCCATCTGGGCCGTGCCGCCGCTCGGTCGAGCGCCTTGTGCAGTCGCCGGACCCATGAGCTCGTCGGCCAGACTCACCTGGTCGCAGCTCGGTGGCGCGTCGTGTGCGCTCGGCGGATCGGTCGGGGCCTGTGGCTGCTTGTCCCCCACGGGCTGCCCACCGGTCTTCCCGACCACCGACTGAGGATCCTGAAGCGCGACGTCGAGCTGTCGAAAATCTTCGCTCGGTCGCGCGCCAAGTCTATCTTGCAGCAAGTCGTGGACGCCGGGGATACGAACATACGGAGGGGCAGGAGGATCCACGCCCACACCGCGTTTCACCGCAGGTCCTCTGCTTCGCTTAGCGCCGCTGGTCTGGTCGCCGGTCAGGGATTTTTCGTCGGCGACCCTTTTCCCCGACTGCCTTGGGGCCGGCCCACTCTCCTCGGCGGTTGCGCGACCGCCGTGCATCACCGACGCGAGAGCAGTTGGGAGGAGGCTAAACCCGGCGGTGCCAATGCCCTGTTGGGTCGCGGAGGTGACCGCCTTCACCAGGTCGTCCCTAAGCTCTTGGACGACCTTCGCAGTCACGGCAGCGGCGATCCGCTGCGCCTCGCCCTCCATGGCGGCCTTCACCTCGGCAGACACGACTGTTTTGATCTTCTGGCCGAGAGCATCTGCCACACCTCGAAGCAGCAGGAGGTCGTCCTCCCGTCGCCTACCCTGTGCAGCAGTAGCCGTCAAGTGCAGGGCCTGCACGGTGGGCAGCCACTGCGTGTTCATGAATTCTAGGGTGGAGCCGCGATAGCTCACCGCCTCCTGCACGACCGCCCTCATAGCGTCCACCGCCGTTTGGATGCTCCTCCCCGACGTCTGCTCGAGATGGGTCACGCCCTCGGCGACTGTAGTGAGCTTGTTCACGGCCGAGGTGACCACGCCGTAAATCTTGTCATTCCGGGCCGTCTGGAACTCCAGCCTCTTTTCCGCCACCAGCTTCTCCTCCCTCAGCTTCTTGATCTCCCTCTCCGCCGCCTTTAGACGCTCGATAGCCGCCTTTGACGCCATCCTAGTCGGGGTCGAGCCACTGCTGCCCCCGGCCTTCTTGCCCAACTTGGGTCCGCTGCCGCCGCTCTTATCCGCAACCTTCTCACCGGCGAACAGTACTGCCTCCTCTTCGCCGGTGACAGCCACGTCGTCCTCCTCACGCTCCACGTCCTCCTCCTCTTCTTCCGAGCCACCGTCGTGCTCCCCGCCCCCCTCAACGTCCTCCCTCTCGTGCTCCTCCTCCCCACCCAGAGCGATGCCGGTTCCGACGCCACGGCCCACGGTCGACGCCGCCTCCCCTTTGTTCGACGCGACCTTCTCCGCGTGGTGCAGCAGCTCCAGTCGGAGCGCCTTCAAGCCGACCATCTTCGGGTTCTCGACGATGAGCGGATCGTAGCTGCGATACACGTCGTCCAGATGCTCCAACGACCACGCGAACGCGTTGACCGCCAACAGCCCCGTGTCGGCGACCTCCTCCTTGAGGATGTCGGGCAATTTCTGCATCAACATCCGAAGCACATGGCGCCGACGAAAAGGGTGAGTCGACGCCTCGACGACGATAGCCCAGGCGACAAGGCGACATGGACGTTGGAAACTCACATCACGGATGGGGGCGGCAAGACTCTCCAGACGTTCGGAGACGACTTCGACGGAAGGAGGCGCAGCCGTCCACTGCCTTCCCTCACGGTTCAACTCCGCCTTCACGCACTCGCCGAAAAACCTGCGCTACGAGACGGAAAAGAGCCATCAGACAAGGCGGCATGAACGCCGTTAAGGAGCGGCGCGACTAGCCGTTGACGTTGTCCCACCTCAAAACGTTGGCCGCCTCCTCCTCGTGCCGCTTGGAGGAGGTCTTGGGGTCGAGGTGACGGTAGAACGTCCCGATCTCCTCCTCGTCGGGCAAAAGCAGGTTGCCAGGGCGCACAACAAGCAGGACGCTGCAGTGCCTGCCGGGAAGAGGTCCGCCCCTGCCAACACAAGCACGACGTAGAGATTCAGGGTTCTATCCGGGAACAACAAGCAACGCGGTCGGCGTGGATCGAACCTCGCGGGCGCGGAACACCCACCCGGTGCACAGGGGGATGGCGAGGGCTTCGAAGCCGAAGGCCGACCCGAAAACCAGATAGTCCGCCTTCGACGCCGTCCTGGCGGCGCGAAGACTCGCACCGCGGATCAGGATCATCCTGTCGCCTTTTCCCAGACGATCGAGCTCGTACCTGGGACAACCGGGGGCGAAAAGGCGGGAGCGAAACACTTGCGCGGTGAGCTACAATCCATGCCGGGCGCCGGGGTAAAGCGCGGATAGCAAGACAAGCGGACTCGGACGAAGGTTTCGCACGACGGCGATGTCGCCAGCAGCATGACGGACGTCACCGACGTAGGGCCAATGGTCGAGGACAGGCAAAGTAGTTGATAAGACGACGCAGCGCCAAAACGTCCATCGCGGACGGACATCGTCGACCACGTGGGAAAACGACAAGGCCAACGTCGACCTAGAAAGGACGCCGACGAAAACGCGCAGAACCCTAAACAACTAACAACGCGACCTAGGGATGCGCGCTCACGCGAGGCCGAGGTCGAAGCAAGGTTCTGTGAACTCGGCCTTCTCGTCGCGAAGGACTTCGCAGTCCTTCATCTCCAGCGTCACCATGTACCCACCGATGCCCACTGGCACCTGGAGGGGGAATTCAGTCGCAGGCAGTGCTCTCCTACTGGTCGCCATGCTAACACCACGGTCGGTATCACGGAAGGTTTGGGGAGGAGCGCAGAGAGCTGACAGGGAGGCAGAGGAAATCGGAAAGCGAAGGTGGAAAGGAGAAATGACGGATGGAGTGGGACCCCCCATCAAGAAATGGGCGTGGGCCGTCGGTCGCCTAGTATGCAGCTCGGCAGACGAGGCAAGTCGTGGCCGAGGGCGAGCCTCCGGCTTCGGCCCGTACCGGGCATGCCCTCGATGGCGGGGTTCGGAGGGGCGGAGGTGGGTGGTTTGTGTGGGCCGTGCGTGGGGGTGGTCGGGGTGGCGAGGGCCAGCGATGTTGACGAGGGTGGGGTCGGGCCCTTTGAATTTCGCAACCAACCCGCCTGCCCGGCGAGGGCAGCCCGAGAGGGTTACTAGGGCCTCGCGGGCAACGCGAAGCGAATGTCCGCCTCCGTGAAGGGGTAACTAGGCCCCTCGTCGCTCATGCGCGAGTTCGCCACCCCTCGGCTGCAACGTGGGGTTCTGTAGGAATTCGGGGTGGGGGGGCCGGGGCGGGGGGCGTGGGCAGAGGCCCGCCCCGCGCCAGCCTGGCGGGGGACTCACGCGAGGGAGTTGGCCGCCCTGACGCTCGGTCGACCGTCACCCCCCTGCGTCGTCCCAGGCAGAACGGGTGCGTCACCCCGAATTCCGATGAGCGATTCAGCCAAAGTGCTGCCGAACAGGGCCCAAGATTCCATTCGAAATGAATGAAAAGGAGGGCGTTGGACAGACCAACATGATTCCGTTTTGTTCGGACGGAATCATAGGCTCGGCAAGAATTTCGCGGGCTGACCTGCTTGACGGACCCTAACGAGCCCTAACAGACGGGATCAGGAAGCCGAGACTGACCTTCCTGATCCCGTCATTTTTGTTGTTATTCGTGCTGGCGAACAACGCCATCAGTGTGCACCGTTTGTCCAAAGTGGAGGGTGGGATGGGATACAATTGATGCCTGTTTGAGCCCCTCGTGGTTGCCTTGTGAAGGGGGCATATAAGCTGTAACAAGCATTTCGCATAAGCTTCGTCAATTCGCAGCTAGCTAAAAAGGATTCGCAGGTGCTTATAAACAAGATCTGTTACCTTATCTGACTTCAGTCTCTTCTGCTTGACCTCGGTGTATTCGTTACTATTGGTTGATAACCACGCGACGCGCTTCTAACGTGGGAGCAACAGGCTGGGGAAACAACCTCGGGTGCAGCGTTTCCAACCGGCGCAAGGCAAATCCGCGTGCACTGGCTGGGCATCAATTGTAGTGTAGCGAGCCCGAACGGACTAGAGTTGTACAGTACTCTACGTCGGATGCCGGAAATTCGTTTCACCCAGTCCCCTGCTGGAGAAATGCTGGTCAGAATCCAATTGGCAGTTGAGTACTGTCCCCTGTGAGCTGGCTAAATGCAGGTTTGGCCGCGAATTTGGTTATTTTCGATACGTCGCCCTCTCTTGTGGTTCGGATTGATTCTTTTGGAGGATAAGGTTGCAGCATTGAAAAGGAGTGTGGGTTTCAACAGCTCGTTCCATCGCCTCGCCAGGCGGGAGGTGTCTGGCACAGTTGTAACAACACGGTGGATGGATATGATTACAACTGGTTCTAATTCTCCAACAGTACACCAAAGAAGTGGCAGTAGGCTTGGAAATTTTGTCTCCTTGTAACAATGGAACATCCAGCGAAGCACAGAGACCTGATGTACAGTTCTTTCCGAAGGACCTCGTTGTTCATGTGGATGCTTCCTCGTGTACCTCGTGTTGTACTGTTGAGCTCCTCGGTGCTTCACTGTAGGCTTGGCATGGCAGCCGAGTCCCCCTGCCAGGCTTGGGGAGATTCGTGCCCTTAGAAACAGTGTCATGGCATGGAAATCGCATGAGTTGTCCTCGTCTTCCTGACCGACCGACAGCCTGGGCTTCCCGCTCATCAATCTGCTGTTGCTGACACTTCTCTCATCCCTTTTGGATGCACTTTTCGTCACAACTGCCCTAACGTAAACTGATGCTGACGTGGCTATGCAGTGGAGGGGCTTTTCATACACTAGTAGTTCATCACCACACCCCCCCGACCTCCACACGGTTTTGGTCATTCCTTCCCACCCCCGAATACGGCTCCGTCAAGCAAAAAGCACCAGTGCCCGCCGCTCTCCCTCGGTTATCCCAATGTTCCTCAAACGTCGAATCAGCTCCTTGCACCGCGTCGGTATTCTGCCCGTCGTGGTTTCGTCGGCTGCCCTGCTACCCCCACCCCACCCCCCTGCCCAACGAAGCGAAACCCTCGTCCCATGGGTTGCGATGGGACGACCCGCTGGCGCTGCTTGCTGCTTGCTGGTGCTGCTTCCCTCCCCGCCCAGCCCACTGCCCCATTCGCCCACTGCTGCTGCCTGCTGTATCTCTCCGAGCCTGCCAACAAGGCCTCTCATCTCGGCCTCACCTCACGTCACCTCACCTCTTAGCTCACAGTCACGAGGGTTTGAATGGATGCTGAGACATCAGGCTCACTTAGTTATCACTTTCATGATTTGTTTGCTGACGTGTAGTAGCTAGTAACCGTGACTTAAGTACTCTTCTGTTTGTCGTTGTATACGCGGTGAAGGCTTGTCGCACGAATCGCGCGTAGAAACCTAGGAACGTTTAAGCTGATAGGACTTAGATCGAAGCATTAGCGTGAGTAATGGCGTCCCGAGATGGTGGTGGTGACATAATGGCCTCAGCGGTAGATGATTTTCCGTCGCTGAAGGCCAAATGGGTAGTTATGCAGCATGCTGGCAAGAAGCCGGGTTCCATGTTTGATGACCTCGCCTTCGTGTGAGTATTTTAGTAGTTCCAACCTCCCCTGGTTTAGGTTCCACGTACTATTTTTTTTATTTTATTTTTTATTTTATTTTTGCGTACCCGCATCTCTGGTATCCTGGTAACACTTTGGACATGACTCATGTGAGGCTCGTCCGTCCATTCTTAGTTCACTCAATATTCCCTGTTACTTTCTATGTGCAGCCCGGACCACGACCTCCTTGACACGGTATGGCTTGATAACCCTCAACAAGAATCCACCGGTAAAAAAGGCGAGAAGCCGTGGCAGGTTGACCCTAAGGCTGCATCGTATCCGTCCGAGGATCCTGCATCGACGGCTGTTCGCGATGCTGAGCTGGATGTCGTCGTCAACAACCAACTCGCGGTGCAGGATCCGCCTGCCGCTCCTCCGCCAACGGCGTTTCGCGACGACATGGTGTCGTGGCTGCTGGACGAGGCGATCGACGGCACCTTCACGGCGGACGCGTGGCACGACTTCGCCGCCGCTGCTCTCGGCGAGGCGGGCAAGGAGATCCACAAGGACGCTGCGGCTGGCCCGACTGACCCTGCCGCCAAGCCTTCGTCCGTTCACGCTCCCGGTCCCACGCCCGCAGAGGCAGACGCCTTTCACAAGTCCGCCGCGTTCGGCGGCGTGAAACCGGGCTTCAAAAGCTTGAGGCCTGAGCAAGCGATGGTGTCGCAGAGACCGGTCGGGCAGGGCCAGGGGACGGGGTGCGACGGGATGGCGAAGAAGACGGCGCTGAGCAACATGGGCGTCGCCGCGCTGCTTGCGCAGAAGCGAGCCATTAGCCTCAAACCGGCCGCCGTGTTTCCCGGTAGCATGGCGGAGATGCGGATGAACAGCAGCGGGGCGGAGAAAGGCGCGGGTATGATGGGCAAGGGGGCAAGTATCATGGAGATGTTCAGCCAGCAGTCGCAGCAATTGCAGCACGCGCAGGAGCTGCAGCACGAGCAGCTGGAGCTGCAGCAGCACGAAGAGGAGTTGGCCGCGCAGCAGCTTTTCCTCATGGAGCAGCAGAAGCTACGACAGCAGCAGCTGAAACTGCGACAGGCGTTTCAGCAGCAGCAGCAACAGCAACAGCTGCAGCAGCTGCAACAACAGCAGCAACAACAACAGCAGGAGCAGCAGCAGCAACAAGAACATCAACAGCAGCAACAACAAATGTTGCAGGAGCAACAACAGCAGCAGCAGCAGCAACGGAAGCTGCTGTCGCAGCAGCAGTGTCAGCTGGTGAAGTTGGAAGCGAAGCAGACGTCCATGCGTTTTCCCGACCAGGCCAACGCTCCTCAGGGCAACTCCTCGCAGTGCGCCGCTCCGCGCGCCACGCCACTCAACTTCTCGCACTTCTCTCTTCCCGCCGCCCTCTACGGCCGCTCCAACACTAAGTCCGCCACCGCCCCCGGATCATCCGCAGCCGCGCCGCCCACCAGCTCGCAAGGTAACTTCCGGCCGCCAACTAAGGTGCCGGCGCCGCCCGCGAAACCCGGCACTGCTCCATCTACTCCCACGCTTGCGCGCGCAGGCGACCCTTCAGCGTCTCCCCCGCAATCTACAGCGCAGCAACCCGCGCAACTGGCGGCTACGGGGAGCCCCACGGCGGGGGCTGGGAGCCAGTCGGGTGCCCCCGCAGGGCCCTCCGCACGCGGGTCGCGGTCTCCGCCTGCCGGTGGCGCGTCCTCCGCGGCGCACTCTGCTGCGGCGGGCGCGCTTGCCTCCGCTGCGCCTAAACCACTCCCGTACGCGCCGATCGCGAAGCAGCAGCAGCAGCAGGGCGCGGAGAGGATGCGCGGCGAGGCATCGGCGGACGCGTTTCACGCGTCGACGGTGACGAGCAACGTGGACGGCCCCGGCGCGTGGGGCAAGCACGAGCGCGACGGCACGGGCAGCTGCGCCGTGGGGGGCGACGACGACGACACGATGGGCGCGCACAGGGAGCGGATGACGCGCAAGAACACGTGCGGAACCAAGGACTCGGGCATTCATCCGGGGTCGGGCGGGGGCAGCTGGGGGAAACGGTCGCGCGAGGAGAGCGAGAACATGGTGTTCGACGAGGCGGACGCGGCGGAGGAGTCGGCGGACACGCGCAAGACGAACACGACGGCGAAGCGCATGGCCGTGTCGGGCAACGAGAGCAGCGCCGCCAAGCGCGCGCGCGCCGCGGAAGTGCACAACATGTCGGAGCGGGTACGTGGCTTGCCTTGCCTGGTCCGCTCATTCCGCTTGCTCGGCTTGCTCCGTGCTGTTGATTCCCTTTACCCTCCTGTCTTCGACGATCTCGACGTGTGCTGTGCTAATCTGTGCTGTGTCGTGGTCCGTGTTGTGACCCACCGTGGCATGCGTGCGTGCAGAGGCGGCGAGATCGCATCAACGAGCGGATGAAGACGCTGCAGGAGCTCATTCCTAACTCCAACAAGGTACGCCTCTGCGCCCCGCCGCCCTCTCTCGCCCATCTTGCATGCTCTCCCTCCCCACCCCACCCCCCCCTCCCCTCCTTTCCCGCGGCCCTCTTTTTGCTCGTCTCGTTTTCGCTTGGTAGCCCTTGTTCTGCTTGGTCTAACCAGGAGCTTCGTTTTCTGCGTGTGCTGTGTCCCTGCTTGCCTGCCTTGTGTGCGACGGGATGTGCTTCACGGCATGTGCGTGCGTGTGTGCATGTGTGTGGCGTGTGCGGGGCGTGCAGACGGACAAGGCGTCGATGTTGGACGAGGCCATCGAGTACCTCAAGATGCTGCAGCTGCAGCTACAGGCAAGTCGCCCTCCACCACCCGCTCCCCTTGCTGCTCCCTCGTCCGTCGCTCTGCTCCTCCGCCACCCCCCCTCAACCCTCCCCCCCCCTCGTGCCCCAACCCCCCTTCCCCTCGTGCCCCGCCATGTGCACACCGCATGATATATCTTTAATACTGTGACATGTTGTGTTGATATGTGTAGGACTCACTCTACCTGGCCGCTCATTCTCCTCCCATCCTTCCTCTCCCCCTTCCTCACCCACTCCGCTCTTTCTCTCCGCGTCCCCCCTTGGCGCGCGCAGGTCATGTCCATGCGCACGGGCATCAGCATCCCCTCCGGCCTCACGGGCGCGGGCGCCGCGCTGCCGTCGCTGGGCGCGGCGAACATGGCGGCTGCCGCGGCGCACATGGGATCGTCGCCACTTCCGGGCGCGCTGGGGATGGGGCTGTCAGGCATCGGCGCAGGGCTGGGCGGGGGACTCGGGGGGATCAACGCGGGCATGGGCATGGGGATGGGCATGGGGATGGGGCTTGGAATGGGCGGACTGGGAGGCATGGGGGGTTTGGGCATGGGAGGCATGGGCATGGGCGGTCTTGGGCTGTCGGAGCTTGCTGGACTGCCAGCTCAGCAGCGGCTCATGATGGAGATGGCGTGCGCAGATCTGGCGCCGAATACAGCCGGGCAGGGGCAGTTGAATGACATGTCATCGGTTGCTGCGGCAATGGCTGCTGCCACGTCATCCCAGTCTCTGTCCCAATCTGCACGGCACTCGCAGCTGCTGTCGCAGCTGCAGGCGGCGCAGGCAGCAGTGGTGGCAGCGGAGGGCGGCGCCAGTGGAGGAGGGGGAGTGGGGCGGGACGGCGGAGGAGGGAGGGCAGCAGCAGCAGCGTCGGCATCGGCGTCAGCATCCACGTCAGCAGCGATGGCGGCAGCGGCTGCAATGCTGGAGGGGCACCGGCAACGGGGGCCCTCTGTTGATCCCATGGAGGCTTACCTGGCACGACACCAGCAGCAGCACCAGCAGCAACGACAACAACAACAGCAACAGCAGCAGCAACAACGTCAGGTGCGTCCCCGCATTCTGTCATAACCTGAGTAATTCGCTTGCTCAAATCCCTGATTCCTGCTTTTACCTGGCAATGCCTTTTCAGGAATGTGTGATGGCCTCGCTTTCTGACCTGCCACCTACCTCTCTCCCTTGTTGCCTGCAGGCATTTAATCTGGACATGTACCAGGCTTTCCTGCAGCAGCAACAGCAGCAGCAGTAAGGTCAAGCAAACCAGCATTGAGTTTTGTGTGACTGCTGTGCCTTCATTGGGTGAGGGAAGGGGTTTTCTCTACAACAGTGGCATGCTAGTTAAGTGGCTGATAGGTGCTCAAAGCACAAAAGGCTGTCCCGCCCATTGCACCTCTCTGGTTACCCCTAGCTTGACTGGACTTCCGCTTCAAACTTCCGAGTGTGCATGAGGTTACTAGCATTCTTCAGGTCTTCCATTGTTATTGTTCAGCCAAGTGATGGCTGAGTATGCCATTCGCTAAGCATGGCAAACATGACATGGCTGTCATGCAATTTGCCTGTACTTAATTTTGTTTTTGTTCGTAGTTCTGCCTTTAGTTACGTTGCAGTGCAGTGTGAATGAGACACACTAAGCACGATGTCTCTGCTGAAAGGGGTCTGCTTCCCCATTGGAATAAGGTAGTTTGCATATACCGTCACCCCCCGGATATACCCCCATGGGGGGCAATAATAAAACAGGTTTTTTCAAGGGGGTGGGCTTATAATCGAGTAAATTTATAAGCGCCGGCGTTAATAAAATGACATTCATATTTTTTTTTATTTTTGAACACCAAACTGTAGGTCTCGTGCTTGCCCTTTCAATCGAGTCGAAGTTACATGGGGTCGTCTGTGAAATTCTCGCGCGCGCTGGGAGACACACCCAATCTGACTCACATCCAGCTCCTGGCAGCTCCTGACAGCTCCTGCTGACTGGACCCGCATCCAGTGCAGGGTCCGAATGTGAAGGGAACCGAATGTGCAACATATCTGCCTGCTAAAGTAAAAATCATTACAACGTTTTGTACACATTTCAAATTTTAAAGTTTACGTGCGCTTATAATAAAACTAGTTTTTTCAGGGGGTGCGCTTATAATCGAGGAGGGGATATAAGCGCCATATGCCAATTAGAAGCGCCAGGCGCTTATCCTAGGGTGGCGCTTATATCCGGGGGGTGACGGTAATTGGTATGCAGGCCTATTCTTGATGTGAGGCTAAGGATGTACCTACACTTTGACATCTGATCTAGTGTGTTATGCTGAGGTTTGCTGTTCCTACTGGACATCCAAGCTTATTAGAAACTAATCTAAGGCCCTGTGCACTATCAGTCATATGGATGTACTAGTGAATGTTTCCAAAAATAATAGCAGTAACCTTTGGCTAAAGGATGTAGGGTCAGAAAAAATTATGAGGAAAAGCAGCGAACTGTGAGTGTTTGAAGTATTTAGCGTGACTGTACGCATAAACGAGGTCGTTGATGGCGATGACTCGATTGATTGTGCCATCCTTGTGCGGTGGCGATGGTGAGGTGAAGATGGCGACGGAGCCCCCTTCGGTGGGATGGCTGATGAGGTGTCTTCGGTGGCTGGCCGGGTGTGAGCTGAGCTGAGGGCGACTTTCTGCCCGTGCCATCGACTGCCCCAGTCCGAGAGTGATTTGAGATTCTAGACGATCGACTGTGTATGCACTTGGGACATGCTGCTTGCGTAACGAATGAAATGTTGGACGCTTGCTCAATTGTGGCTAGTGCTGAGAGGTCTAGTGGTCCATGGGCGAAGTGTCGGGTTGGGGTCAAGGTGATATGAAAGCTGGGGGTGGGGGGTGTAGGTGGGAGCGTGGGTGGTTGGGAGAGTGGAAAGGGATGTTGGGGGCACCAGGTTCTAGGGGGCTAAAATTTCAACTCTTGAAGGCCTTTCGGAGTTCAAAACAATCCCTTTAGGGCTGACCAGCGAACGAGAACCCTTTGAAGTGCAAATTGTACACAAGTGCAGTGCATGCACAGTATCTGGTGTAGTTACGGCGAAGGTACAGCCCCCTCCACCCGTCATAACAAGTTTAAACTGCTCTTCCATGCGTGTTAAATGCTGAGTGAGTCGGTTGCAAACGACAAATGAGAATACCGTTAATTCAGGTTGTACTCCAGTAGCTCATAAATAAGAGTGCATACTTTCACGCTGCCGTTGATTGTGTGGTTCATCGATTGTTATTTGGTGTTTAAAAGGAATAGAAATCCTAAACTCTGGTTTGGGGTCTGAGAATATCCCGTGAATAATGACATGGAAATATGATTTCGTTGTTCGGCCTGGATGAAAGGTCAGATAAATTTGCCAATTCTTCTTTCGCAAAATGAATCATTCTACGTGTCTGGTAGATTCACTGGAACTAGTGGTGTGGGAGAGCATCGTTGCAACGAACTGCTGATGGCACGTAGCTACGCGTACCAATGTCTTGGCTCTGGTTGGACGCCCACCACAAGTGCCACCACGTTAGGCAGTTGTGCTTCCATAAAATGATTCTCCTCGCTCATTTTGCACCACAAATGTAGTTCGCATTTAATACACTCCTGCCTCAATGATCGATTTCCGTCCTCGACCAACTGGTGCTGCCAACTGACCTTGCTGGCACGATATTTCGGAAGCATTTGCCATGTCATCCTCGTCTCAGGAACCACAGAATACTGGCGGGAAGTTGCTGATTCACAGCAGTTTGTGGTACCTGCTTGATTTAGATATCTTTAGGATAAGCCAGGGTGAGTTGGAGGGATAAGTGGCACCGCAGTGGAAGGGATCTGCACCGCGCGATGCGATTTACATCCATCTTCTATTTTGTCGGAACGCGCGTGTTGTCCCAACATGCCCCTTCCATTCCCCCTCGGCTTCTCCAGTCCCCCTCCAGCTCGTGCCTCTCTGCTACAAAGGCAACCATTCCGCCCGAGGTTTATCCACAACACATCCATTACAGCACCCAGCTCAGCCAGCCTCTTGTTTCGTGCTCGGCCTTCCATCCTTCTAATGCTCTTTCGCTTCTTCTTTTTACCCAAAGCTCGTTGTCTAGCTTCTTGAGAACGCAACATTACCCCTTACATATCAAAAGATGGCTACCCCTTCCGTCCAGCCGCTCAGCTCAAAGATCATCCGCAGCAAGCTCGACGACGTAGAGATTCGCGCCTTGGAGGGCAAGCTCGAGCTGCTCAACATCCAGCGCCAGCTCAGCGCCGTGCGCTGCGAAAACTTTATCCACATGCTCCAGTCGTCGCTGCAGCACGGCGGCGACGACGACGACTTCTCGCTCGAGCTCGACGATTTCCCCGTCCGCCGCTCAACCATCCCGTCGCGTCGCTCCTTCGAGGTCTCGTCGCGCCACTCGCACCTGTCGGAGGACTTCGCGTACCTCGATGCCGGCGCGGACCTCTCCCGCTCCCGTTCCAACCCCTCCGCGTCTGCCCCCCTCACGCGGTCGCTGGGCTCCCGTTCAGCGCGCTCCAGCACGTCGTCCCCCGCGGGGCTCACACGCTCGCTGCGGCGCCACGCCAGCCTCAACGTGCGCCGCAACGACATCTTCCGATGAAACCTTCCGCTCCGAAACACGCCCTTCCCAGATCTTGACCGTTCTGTGCCGCGAGGTGCGCCCCGCAGCCCCCCCGCGGAAGTCGCGTTGTCGCTTCCACCACGCGTCTAAAGCCGCGACGAGCCCAATGATGTACACTCCGGCGCTCCAAGCGCGCTTCTCGCTCCTAAGAGGCTTCGTCCCGATGGTACGGAGACGTCAGCTCGAAGAGAGGACTCATTTGCCAGGCGAAGACAAGCAGAACTATTTTCAATGGCGCCACTCACGAGTATGCCAGTCGTTTGATTGTGATCACGGCAATGATGGTCCACGTGACTTTGATCAGTGGACGGCCTAAACGAGGTCCAGAGAACCACCATTTATTGATCCATCTGCCGCTGCAGATGAAATGCGTTGCTGCGCATATGCAATCTTTGTAAAACTTGTCATGAAATGTTTAAAATTATTATTACTTTCATATCCAAAAGAAGTGCCACTCATTTTCCAACATCATGAAAGCAAGCTGACCCCGGGCCACAGCAGACGTTTGTCCATCTGTTGCACAACAGGTCACAACAACGGGTCCCTGATGCAAGATTAGGTCCGCAACCCCTCTACTGAGCAAGTTGGGTGGGTCTGCACCTTCGCAGCGTTATTGTGCCGTCCATCCTTACATCTTTCCACCATGCCCCTTTTCATGCACTCCAGGCTTGGCAAATCATTATCACATGCAATGCAACTATCAGCGCCATCATCACAAGAATCCAGCAAGAAAACAACCTTAAGCTTGCACTGTTCCAAAAAACTAAAGCTGAGCCGTCATTCCGGCAGCATGCCTTCAAACTGCTCCGTGAAGTCATAGTCACTTCCCTCGCTCCCCTCCGCCTCCTCACCCCCGGCCCCCTTACCCGCCGCCCCGCCCTTGCCCTTCCCCCGTGTGCTCCCCACACCGCCCTCCTCCCCCCCCCCCCTCCCCCCCCAGGTGCTGCTGCTTCTTGCGGCGCTTCTTGTCGGCGCGGCGCTGATGCGGGTTGAGGATGCCTGCTGCTTCATACAGCACCTCGTTCTGCCGCAGATACTCCCTCCCCCGCATCACACCTGCCCTCTCCGCTGCCGCCACCGCATCCACGTCGTCCACGTGCATGCCGCCCGCCTCTGCCGCCTCTTCCTCCTCGTCTTCTTCCTCTCCCTCTTCAACCTGCAGCGGGAAACGATGCGCGGGAGGGTGCGTTAGTGTGGAATGGGCGAATGGAGGCGTCGTGCGAGGGAGACAGGAGATGTGGGGGAGAGGCGAGGGGAGTTGGAGAGAGCAAGAGTGGGTGGCATTGTGCTGCAGACACATGTAGCAAAACACAAGCACCATCATCACGAGCGCCACCACCATCACCACCATCACCACCATCACCACCATCACCACCGCCACCACCATGCACCTCATCTGTGACCATCATGGTGGCCGGCGCGCTAGCAGGCAGCACCGCATGCCCCGCCGCACCACCACCACCTCCCCCAGCAGGCGGGGCGAGGGCGCCCCCCTGGTGGGCCTGCCAGGCGCGCTGCTCGCTGGCCAGCACCTCGTGTGCGCCGAACTCGCCCCCCCACGCGCCCACCAGCGCCGCCCCCTCCTCGTGCTCCTCCGCCCCCTCCACCGCCTCCGACGCAGGTGACGGCGGCAGTGTGTAGTACGGGATGCGCCCTGCAAGATGGGGAGGCGGATGAGAGGGGAAAGAGGAGTAGCACGAGGGAGGGATGTGCACACGTGGAGATGGGTGAGAGAGTTTGAGAAGAGGAGGTGGTTGGTGCAGGGGGAGAGCTGGGTGCGGTTGTTGATCGGATACAGCGCTCTGCAGCAGCAGGGCAGCAACGCACCTCACCCATCCCACTGCTACACTGCCTCGCCTGTCCCTTCACCTTCCCATCCCCCTTCTCCCCCCCCCCCACACTTCCTCCCCCCTTCACACACCTTCATTCCACTCGCGCAGCACAATGCGCGCAGCAGCAAGTGTGTCCGGCACGCCGCCCTTCTTCAGCCGCCCGCGCTTCTGCGCTACCTGCCGAAGGAAGCTGTCCACGGGGCCGCCCGCCCCGTCCTTGTAGGCGGCGGTCTCGTCGAGGCCGTAGACGGCGTTTAGGTGCGCCCGCGGGCACAGCTGTAGTATGCGCTCCACTGGGGGGGGAGAGGGGGGGAAGAGAGCGGAGGGGAAACAAGAGGAGAGGTGGGGTTAGGAAGAGTGCGTGTTGAGAGGGTGTGGGGCTTGCGGCAAGGATGTGGTGACTGGCGCAGGGAGGTGGATGAGGCACTGAGGGCCCAGATTGGCAGGGACGAGGCAGAGCAAGGGGGAGGCAGGACACAGGGGAAAAGTTGACGGTGGGGTGGAATGCGGTGGTACCCGGTGCAAAGGGGTCGAGCAGCGCCTCGGGGCGGATGGCATTGCGCAGCGCAGCAGCAGCCTCGTCGTCCTTCCCCCCTCCGCCTCCCCCTCCGCCTCTCCCCCCTCCCCCTCCCCCCGACAGCACGACCCCCGGCGAGTCAATGAGGCGAACGAGTTTGTCCAGCTGCACCTCCTGCAGCGCGCGCGTCACGCCTGCCGTGGCGCCCGCCTTGGCCACGCGCGCGCGCTTGAGCGAGTTGATCACACTGCTCTTGCCCACGTTCGGGAGGCCCACCACTCCCACCCTGATCGCCGTCTTGATCTGATGAGGGGAACAGTGGCGACGGGGGAGGGAGGGGAGGGGGAGAGAGGAGTGGTGAGAGGCGGACATCATACAGACACAGTCACTCTCATTCCGCTGCTGGAACAGCCTCCCCTCCATCCCCATGCACCCCGTGCGCCCATGCGCCCCTACTCTCCCCCCCCATCCCCCCCCTCACGTCTTTGTTGCGGCAGTAGTTCTTGAGCAGCTGGATGAGAGTATCCGCGCCGAAGCACTCGCTGCCCTCCGCGCCCGCCGCGCCCCCCGCCTCCTCCCCCTCCCCGCGCGGCAGCAGCGGCTGCGGCGCGGCGGCGCGGTTAGGGTCGGCGCGGGAGGGTCGGGAGGCGCGCGCGAGGTGCGCGCGCTGCGCCTGCGTGGAGGCCTTGAAGGCCACGGCGGGCAGCTCGCGGCGGAAGTACGCCAGCCAGCGCTGCACCACGTCGCGCGGCACCAGGTCTGGGGGAAGGGGGGAGGGAAAAGGGGAGGGGGAGGGGCGCGGCGGGGAGGCGTGAGAATGGGGGGGGAAGGGTGTGTGTGTGAGTTTGCTCGGGGTTGGATATTCGGGTTGCGGGTGAGAGAGAAGGCAGGGGGAGGGGAGAGAGGGAGTGGCGGAGAGAGGGAGGCGCGACTGACCGATTTTGTTGAGCAGCAGCACGATGCGCTTGTGCGCGCCGCTGCGCGCCACCATGTCCTCCAGCTGGCGGCAGCGGCCGCCCAGCGGGTCGCGCGCGTCGAGCACGAGCAGAACCACATCCGCCGCCTCAACCACCGCGCGCAACTCGCGCATAAACGCCCGCTGCCCTCCCGCTGCGCGCGCCCGCGGGGAAAAGGTGAGGGCGGGGGGTTGTGGGGGGAAAAGGGGAAGCGGGGAAGGAGACAAGGGGGTTGAAGAAAGTGAGTTGAGAGGAGGGAGAGGAGGGGAAGAGGAAGGACGGCGGCTGTTGCAGGGAGCACGAATGCAGCGGATATGCGCCGAACGTTCCGTACTGCATGTTCCCTCGGTCGGGTTTCGGGCTTAAGGTTTAGGCCCTCCTAACCCCTTCAGCCTGATTGGGACTCATGATTAGTGAAGTTTGCCCCCTTCCCATTGCCTCCCGCGCACCCACCTTTCCCCTTGCCCGCTTGCCCCTCCGCCGCCTCCTCCCGCTCTCTCTTCCGCTTCTCAAACTCCGCGCCCCTCTCCATCGCCCCCTTCACCATCCCCGCCATCGCCGCCCCGCTAGTCACGCGCCCACTTTCCTGCCCCTCCTCCTCCCCCTCACCCCCCATCTCCGCGTCTTCCTCATCCTCCGCGCCTTCGGCGCCCGGCAGCGGCCCCTCCTCCGGCAGCCCCGCGCGGCGCCGCCTCGCCTGATGGGGGAGGGGGGGAGGGAGGATGGGGGGATGGCCCGATGGGGGAGAAAGGAGGGGAGGGAGGGAGAGAGTGGCAGGGATTCGGGGTTTAACGGCAACGAGCGAGGGGTGTCGGACGAAAGGGGCAATGCGGGGTGCGCGCTGGCGGGGAGAATGGGCGTAGAAAGGAGAATTTGACATTCCTTGGCTCTCTGTCCCCGCTCGCGCACCCATCCCCCTTCCCCCCGCACGCACCCGCTCCTTCTTCTCCGCCTTCTTCGCCTCGCGTTCCTCCAGCCCGCGCTGCCGCCGCGCCTCGAGCGCCGCGAGCTCCTCTTCGCGGAACGGCCAGTCGTTGGGGATGCCCGGGTCCTTCTCCACGCGCCGCCTCGGCGCGACGCCGTCGCGGCGCGCCTTCTTGGCCTCCTTGAGCTTCTTCTTGGCGTGCTCCTTCACCTTGCGGATGACTTTGTACTTCTGCCGCAGCGTCACGCGCTTGCTCTTGCTCTCTGCGCGCGCGCAACGGGGACACGGTGTGGCGGGGGAAGAGTGGGAGGGGGTCGGAACAAGAAGGGCGGTATGGGAAAAGTCAGTCGGAGGGCGCGAGGGGAAACGCGACGGGATGAGGAGATGGTGTTTGCATAGAACGAGACTGACGAGGCATGACGCGACCATGCAATCACGAGGCACGATAAGCACCGCAATCACGCCGCAAGCATCAAACCGCTTATTCTCAAACGATCGACATAAACTTACTCTTGCTTCGCTTCACCATGCTTGCTGCTGATTGGCCCGCTCGAGCTGCTTTGAGGTCGTTAGGAGACGCGAATCTGGAATTAGCGCGGCGGAAGGAACAACGCGGAGGAGAACGTGGAGATGAAAGCGAGAGTAGTGGTTTGACGGGGACTGACGCGAACGGAAGGTTAAGGAAAGGAGAGCAGAATGTGCAAGTGTGGGGTCTGAAGGTCTTATGAGGGATTTATCAAGGGGTTGGGGTTTGGGTTCGGCAACTTCCCGCGAAATGAGCGACGGTAACCCTATTCTCGTCCAGCGTTGTCTGGATATTTTTGAATGTTGTGGGATAAGCATTCAGTTGAATGCGGTTTTGCGAGATGTTTTGCGCGGCAGTGTGGTTCGATTACGTTTTAGATCGTTCGGGTGAGATTTTGAGCGTTGATAAAGTCGAAGGAATGCCTGAAGCCGCAAACTACAGTACACAAATCTGACTCCCACCCCTGCCCGCAAATCCGTCTTTCCCTTCTCTGGGTTGTCGCCTAGCTGCGTGCTGTGTGCCCGCCACGTGCGCGCAACTCCTAAACACGTTGTAACGATCAGCGCTTAAAGTCATTGGCTCGTCGTGTGGGAAGCGTCGCGGGGTGCCATGACCTCGATCGTATCGCTGCCCATGCGCCGACTCCTCCGCTCCTCGCCGTTAGATCAGCTCGCGCCGCGCTCCTATAAGAATTCGTCGTCACCCTCCTCGATGGCAACACCAGATCGCGTCAGTCTAAGCAGCGGCTCGTCGCTCATTGGCCAGTCGCTCGGCACAGGTACGCGCGAAGCGCGAAACGGCGGTTGAGTGGACGGCGGTGAGGGTCGGAACTGAAATGCAAAACCGCTGAAGCATCTGATTGCAGCCACCAGTCGTTCCGCCTCCCCCAACGCTCCCAAGATCCGCGGCGCTGCGCCCTCATGCGCCACCGCATCTGCCAGCGCGCCGCATTTCCCGCTTTAACCCGCACCTCCCCTCCACGCCTTCCCCTTGCGCCAACAGTCGACTCCCCCAGTGGCTCCCCGCGTCGCTCTTTCAGCGCCGAGCGCCCGCCAGTCGCGTCGCGCCACGGGCAGGCGTCGCCCGCGCGGGCGCGCGCCGTGCTACAGTCGCAGTCGGACAGCGAGGGAGGCGCGAATGGGAACGGGACAGGTGTCCCGCTGCGAGTGGCGTACCAGGTGAGCGCGGCGCGACAGCGTGGCTGCGCAGTCACGTCTCCGCGACCGCCGCACACCGCTCCCCATCGCGCGGTGGTTCTACTCCGCACATCCCCCCTCACTGCCCGCCTTGCATCCGCCACCTCCGCTCGCCCTCTTCACTCACGGAACGCGGTCGGGCCTCGTCTACTTCCCACCCCCCCTTCCCTGCGCCATCTCCTTCAAATCCCCCCACTCTTCCCCCCCTTTCCCCCAGGGCGTGCCGGGCGCGTACAGCGAGATGGCGGCGATGCGTGTGTACCCGGGGTGCTCCCCCGTACCCTGCGACCAGTTCGACGACGCCTTCAAAGTAAGCCCCCAACGCGCCCCCCTCCCCCGCGCGTCCCCCAAGCAACCCCTAGCCCCCCTCCCCCGCGCGCCCCGCATGCATGCACACACCCAAGCCAGTGGGACCTTGGCCGTTTCAATGCAGCATCTGCATTCCGCCTCCTCCTCCTCTCCGCGCATCCCTCCATCCTTCCCCTTGCGACCCACACCCCCTTCACTCTTCCACTTCTCCCCTTTGCCTCCCACTTCCCCCTCCCCCGCTCCCGCGCGCATTGGTCCCCCAGGCGGTGGAGCAGTGGCTGGTGGGGCGCGCGGTGCTGCCGATAGAGAACAGCCTTGGGGGGTCGATCCACCGCAACTACGACCTGCTGCTGCGCCACCGCCTGCACATCGTGGGCGAGGTGCACCTGCCCGTGCACCACTGCCTGCTCGCGCTGCCCGGCACGCACACCACCCAGCTCACGCGCGTGCTCTCACATCCCCAGGTAAGTGCAAGGGGCATGGGGGTGGGTTGCTGGGTTGCTGCTGCGCCACCGCCTGCACATGGTGGGCGAGGCGAGGTGCGCCTGCCCGTGCACCACTGCCTGCTCGCCCTGCCCGTGCACCACTGCCTGCTCGCCCTGCCCGTGCACCACTGCCTGACCAGCTCACGCGCGTGCTCTCGCACCCCCAGGTGGGTGTACGGCGTAGAGGGGGAGGCGGGGGATGGGGGAGAAAGAAGGGGCGGGGTGAGTGCCGTGCGGGCAAAGGAGGGCGCGGCAGCAGGGTGAGCGGGGTCGCTGCAGCGCGTGCCTTGCATGGGTCTACCATAGGGTTCACTTCTCTCACCTCCCCTCTTCCTCCTCCCCTCTCTCCCCCTTTTCCTTTCCCCCACCTCCCTCTCTCCCTCTCCCCTTCATCCCTTCTCGCACTGCGCCCACGCCACCACCTTTCCTGCTCTCCCTTTCCGCCCCTTTCCCCCGTCTTCCCCCTTGCTCCCCCGGAGCGCAGGCGTTGGCGCAGTGCGAGGCGACGCTGAATGGGTTGGGAGTGGTGCAGGAAGCCGTCTACGACACGGCTGGGGCTGCTCAGGTGCGTACCAGCCGCTCAGGTGCGTACCAGCCGCTCAGGTGCGTACCAGCCACTCAGGTGCGTACCAGCCACTCAGGTGCGTACCAGCCACTCAGGTGCGTACCAGCCACTCAGGTGCGTACCAGCCGCTCAGGTGACAGGGGCTGCTGGGGGCCGCTCAGGGGGGTGCTGCTGGGGTGGGCAGGCGGGTTGTGAGTTGTCTCACAAAGTTGTTGCAAGTTCGCCTCTGTGGTCTGCTAAACCCTTGCACTCTACTCAACTCACTCCACCGCCATGCCTTGTGCTGCCCAATGCTGTGCTGCCACGTGGCAGATGGTGGCGAATCAGAAGATGGAGGGCGTGGGGGCAGTGGCGAGCACGCGGGCGGCGGAGATCTACGGCCTTGAGATCCTGGCGGAGGGCATTCAGGTGAGATCCTGGCGGAGGGCATTCAGGTGAGATCCTGGCGGAGGGCATTCAGGTGAGATCCTGGCGGAGGGCATTCAGGTGAGATCCTGGCGGAGGGCATTCAGGTGAGATCCTGGCGGAGGGCATTCAGGTGAGATCCTGGCGGAGGGCATTCAGGTGAGATCCTGGCGGAGGGCATTCAGGTGGGATCCTGGCGGAGGGCATTCAGGTGGGATCCTGGCGGAGGGCATTCAGGTGGGATGGTAGAGGGGCTGTAGGCATGTGGGGTCGTAGAGTGCAGATGCTGTGCTCCTGTCTCCCACTTCCTTCTCCTCTCCTCTCATCCTTCCCTCTTCTCCCTCGCTTGTCTCTCCGCCAATCCCTTGCTTTCCTTCCCGTCCCTCCTCGCGTCCCCCCTTTCCCTCTCTCCACCATCCTCCTCCACCCCCCCATCAGGACGAGGCGGACAACTTCACACGCTTCCTGGCGCTGGCGAGGGACCCCGTGCTGCCCTCCACCGACCGCCCCTTCAAGGTGCGCCATCGCATCGCCCTCCAACCTCGCCCTTCTGTCTCTCCCCGCCCAAGCTCCCTCCCTCGTCTTCCTCCTTTACTTTTTTCTGCGCCACCGTGCCTGCCTCTCACCATGCCTGCCTCTCACCATGCCTGCCTCTCAACATGCCTGCCTCTCACCATGCCTGCCTCTCACCATGCCTGCCTCTCACCATGCCTGCCTCTCAACATGCCTGCCTCTCACCATGCCTGCCTCTCACCATGCCTGCTTCTCACCATGCCCGCCTACACCATCGCTACTCCTTCGCCCTCACCACCCTCCATACCTGCACCCCTGCACTCCCCTCCCTCTTCCCCCCCCATGTGTGTGCACCCCACCAGACGAGCATAGTGTTCACATTGGAGAAGGGCGCGGGAGTGCTCTTCAAGGCGCTCTCCGTCTTCGCCCTCCGCGACATCAACCTTACTAAGGTCACTGCCTTCCCGTACCGCACCGCACCACACCGCACTGCACCACACCTCTCTGCTGTTTCCTGCTTCACTGGTCCCCGGTGTGTGGCATGTGCGTGCACGTTTGGATCACTCGCACTCATCTTATGCTGCCTCTGTGTGCCACCATGTGTCCATGTGCATGCTTGCTTGTGCGCACCTGTGCGTGCATGTGTGCATGCACGTGTTTGCTTGTGTATGTGTGTGCACACACGTGTTTGCTTGTGTATGTGTGTGCACACGCGCGCGCACGTGCATTTGCTCGTGTGTGTGCATGTGTGTGTGCATGTGTGTGTGCATGTGTGTGTGCATGTGTGTGTGCATGTGTGTGTGCATGTGTGTGTGCATGTATGTGTGCATGTGTGTGTGCGCATTACCGTATGTGTGCATGCACACGATCACAGATAGAGTCGCGGCCGCACAGGGACAAGCCGCTCTATGTGGACTGGTTGGATCGCTCCTCCCTCGCTGCGCCCGCCATGCCCCTCTCAGACACCCCTGCCGCCGCCTCTCAAGAGTCAGTTCTCCTCCCCCCACCTCTCTCCTTCCTCCTTGTTCTCTTGCCCTCGTTCACATGGCCTTGTCTTCTCATGCACCTCCCTCTGCAGTTTCTACCTCAATCACTCACCCACTCACTCACCCACTCACTCACCCACTCACTCACCCACTCACTCACCCACTCACTCACCCACTCACTCACCCACCCACTCACCCACTCACCCACTCACTCACCCACTCACCCACTCACTCGCTCACATACTTACACTCTCACTTTCTCACATACTTACACACTCACTCACTCACTCACTTACTCACACACTCGTTCACTCATGCTGTTGCCACCACCCTGCCAACCTACCTGACCACCCCTGTCACCCTCGTTGCCCCTCCATCTCCCCACCATCCCCCCCACAGCAGCAGCGCCATGGCGTACCAGTCGTTCGACTACCTGTTCTACATCGACTTCCAGGCATCCCTCGCCGAGCCCCGCGTGCAGAACGCCATGCGCCACCTCCAGGTCTGCCCTGCCTCCTCCTGCGCCTCACGCGATCCCTCCTGGCCTCCTCTCCCTCCTGGCCTCCTCTCCCTCCTGGCCTCCTCTCCCTCCTGGCCTCCTCTCCCTCTCCTCATTTCCGCCTTGTCTCATTCGCTCACTTCCCTTCCCCCCTCCTCGCATCACTGCTCTCACACCCCACATGTCTGTCCCCCATCCCACCCATGCCACCAGGAGATGGCGTCGTTCCTGCGCGCAGCTATCCCATGGACGTCAACCCCATGGACGTCAACCCCATGGACGTCAACCCCATGGACGTCAACCCCATGGACGTCAACCCCATGGACGTCAACCCCATGGACGTCAACCCCATGGACGTCAACCCCATGGACGTCAACCCCATGGACGTCAACCCCATGGACGTCAACCCCATGGACGTCAACCCCATGGACGTCAGCCCCATGGACGTCAACCCCATGGACGTCAACCCCATGGACGTCAACCCCATGGACTACTCCCCTCCGCCCCACCCTCCAGCCTCTGAGGAAGCTCGAGGTGCCTCAGGCCAGACGTGGCTGTTGATCCCGCTCACTGCACTCACTCTGCGCCCTGCTCACGTGTGTGTCCCCCCCCCACCCCATCAGGAGATGGCGCCATTCCTGCGAGTGCTGGGCAGCTACCCCATGGACGTCAACCCCATGGAGCCCCCCTCCTCCTCCACACCCTCACCACCCGCCACCCTCTGAGCGAGCTCGCGCTGCCCACACGCCAGGCCTGGCTGGTGATCTCGCTCCCATGCCGCGTGCTGCCATGCCGCATACTGGCAGGCACACACACAGGGTGCAAGCACGGGGGCGTGCCATGCTTGTCCCACCACTGCCAGCAGTCTTCCCTATCATGCCGAGTGCATGCTTGTACGAGCACCACTTGTCACACGTACACTCTTGCCTTAGTCGTGTCTCACAGTGCTGAGTGGCGCTGAATCAGCTTTCCTCAACTTGGCCTTTGTGCTGTACTACATTTCTACTAAGCGGCCCAATATGATAATAAACGTGTAATTACAGTCCATGCTCCTGACCTCTTTGCACCCGCATTGCGCGGATACCTACGGTACAACACATTGCCTCTTTATTGCACATGCACACAGCTAGCTAAAGGAGCAGAGAGAGCAGAGCATGCAGCACTCTACATGTGGCAGAGGACTGTCCCAGCATGAGCAGGGCACACATGCAGGGAAGGCGAGCAGGCTTGAGCCTTGAGCAGCAGGATGGTGCGGTGGGAGTGGAAGAGTGCAGGGCGGCCAGTTCAGACGTTGCAGCAGCCGTGGCGGCAGCAGGTGGAGGGGAAGCGGCAGCAGTAGGGCTCTCCGCGCTGGTTGCGGCAGCACGACCCGGGGCGGCGCTCGCAGCACACCTTGCCGCCACAGCACGGGTAGTGGTGGTGGTCCTGTGGCGTTGGCACGGGGGGGAGGGGGGGGATTGGGTGCGGGGAAGAGGAGAGGGGGTTGAGGAGGAGGAGACTGGGGTGATGATGCGTGGATGTGCGAGGTAACGGGAGAATGGACAGCACTCTACCCGGGCAAGGACTAACCGTATAGGCATGCGTGTGTGTGTGTGTGTGTGTGTGTGTGTGTGTGTGTGTGTGTGTGTGTGTGTGTGTGTGAGGGGTGTGTGCATGTGAGGGGTGTGTGCGTATGTGTGCATGTGTGAGGGCGTGTGTGTGTGTGTGGCGTGTTTTCGTGCGTGTGCTTGTTCGTGCGCGTGCGCCTGTGCGTATGCGTGTGTGTTTGTGTGGAGGCAGGGAGCAAGCGGAGGGGCGGAGCGCGGAGGGGGCAGCGCGTACAATGCAGCAAGAGCCGTTGCAGAAGATCCGCGCGGGGCTGCAACCCGCCGTCCCTGCGAACTCGCAGAACCCCGCGCCAGGCGCGCACGTCAGTGACGGGAAGGTAGGGGGCGGCGGGGAGACGGCGGGGTCGGAGGGGGTGGTGGTGGGCGGGGAGGGCACGGACGGCGACGAGGTCACCCCGGATTGGTCGTGGTCGCGCGAATGGTCGTCGCCATCGTCGCCATCACTTCCATCGTCGTCATGATGGTCGTAATGTTCGTCGTGGTCGTCGTGGTCGTCGTAATCGTGGTGGTCGTCGTGCGACGAGTCGTCATTCACCTCGCCTTCCTCCTCCGCGCGCCAATGCGAGCGCAACTTTCCCTGCGAGCGCATCCGATCTCTGCTTCCGCCGTCATCGCTGCTCTCCTCCCGCTCGTCGTCCTCCTCTAGCGCTCGCCCGCGGGCGACGTGCAGAGATGCGCGGGAAAGCGCGGGGCGGAAGAGGGCCGCGGCGAGAAGCGCGCAGAGCGCGAGCCCGGCGAACGAGAGGCGTCGCGTTGTGAGTAGCGAGACGCGGGGAGGCGCCATGGCGGGGAGAGCGGATGTGCGGAGGACCGCAGGCGGGAATGGAGAGTTCGAGGCGGAGCGGGCTGGCGCTGTGTGCGCGCGCGTTGAAGGCGCGCGTGTTTGGGCGAGGGGCAGCAGAGATTCGGAATGGTGGAAACGTGGAGGCCGAATGTGTTGTCGGGTTTGTGTGCGACTATTATATGTACAGCTCGGGGAGGGCAGGCTTTGAGTACAGAATGGATTTGGACGGTCTGTGCGGAGGGATGGACGGACGGATGGGTAATGGCGGTGGCGCCGTGCGGATGAGGGGTGTGCTGCTGGAGTGCTCTGGTTGGGCAATGGGCTTTGCCTCGCGTTTGGCTTCTGAAATCTGGGCTTTGCGGCGGCGCGTTGAAAAGATTCCTCCAACTGAGATGCGGCTCGACCAGGTGAATGCTTAGCGCCTCCAGGCTTGTGCCGAACGCATGGCTGTGGCTCGACAGGCTTGTGGGAGAAGCGAGAACCAGAAGCTTCAGGGAAGGCCTCGAGCACAGTGCCAGGCGCTATGTACAAACCGATTCGTTATTGCACTTTCTAGTTGCACATGGCTGTCTGGATTCGCAGTCCTCAATTTCGACAATCCGTACAAACGGCTGCTAATGGGGATAATTCTTTTTACACTTAACAAACAAGAAAAGCTCCCCAGTGCGAAATGGTTGAAAGAAGTGAAGCTTTGCATAGCCTGTCAATTTTACACCCTCATCCAAATACACATTGGCAAATGGCTTGTATTTGCATCCTCTCTGTTACCGTATGTAGAGCACTTAGATTGGAACACCCAACACCTCACTGCTAACTAGCACCAACAGTACATCACATCATGTATGTAGCAGCAGGTCACCAAATGTCTCTTAGATACCTACCCTGCTCTGCTAAACCATCCAACAATGCTACTGCCGCCTCCTTCGCCATCTTGCCCTGCAGCACACCCACATTGGTATGGACACACACATTGGTATGGACACACACATTGGTATGGACACATGCACACACACATTGGTATGGACACATGCACACACACACATCTGTATGGACACATGCACACACACACGGATGGATGGATGGATGGATGGATGGATGGATGGATGGATGGATGGATGGATGGATGGATGGATGGATGGATGGATGGATGGATGGATGGATGGATGGATGGATGGATGGATGGATGGATGGATGGATGGATGGATGGATGGATGGATGGATGGATGGATGGATGGAGGGATGGACGGACGGACGGACGGACGGACGGACGGACGGATGGATGGATGGATGGATGGATGGATGGACGGACGGACGGACGGACGGATGGATGGATGGATGGATGGGCGCTGAGCAACAGCAGACGTAAAGCACAGAGCGGCAGAGCAGAGAGAGAGGGAGGAATTAAACTTGTGCAGGACACCCCAGCAGAGCGCCCACCGACCTGCTCCACAGCGACCTCGAGCAGCGCATGGTGCACGTCCCTGGCCATGGCCTTGGCGTCCCCACACACATACACACTGCCTCCCCGCCTCCCCACCACCTGCCACACCCTCTCCGCCTGTGCCACCGCCGCATGCACACAGACACATGCACACAGACACATGCACACAGACACATGCACACAGACACATGCACACAGACACATGCACACAGACACATGCACACAGACACATGCACACAGACACATGCACACAGACACATGCACACAGACACATGCACACAGACACACGCACACAGACACATGCACACAGACACATGCACAGACACATGCACACATACACACACACACGCGCACAGAGGAGAAACATGGTGAGGCAATATGATACGCATTCTTATACGTCAACAAGTGTGCGAGCATGCCTGGGCAAGCAGGTTCGGACAAACCTGGAGTCAAATGGCACCACCAACCCAATCAGCACACTTGGCACTTAGCAGGTGCTGCACGCCCCTTTCACAAGCAGCGCACCTCTTGCTTGAGCAGGTGCTGCACGCACCTCTTGCTTGAGCAGGTGCTGCACATACCTGTTGCTTGAGCAGGTGCTGCACGTAGACCTTGGAGGGCCCGTCTCGCGAGAAGGCCACGTGCAGCGCTGACAGCACGCCGCTCTCCTCATACGCTGCCAGCTCCTCCCGGTATATGTAGTCCTGCGCGCAGGCAGGGACCAGGGGAGGTGGCGGGCGCACGGGATTCGAGGGATGCATGGACTGTTATTGTGCGTGCACAAAAGTTGGTGCCGAAGTGTGGCACACGTAAAGATGCACATCAACATCTCAAGGCACACCGCACCAGTGCTCACTTCCCATCCTTTCCTGCTCCCTCCCCCATCCCCGCTCTCACTCCCTTTCCCAATCCTCCCCCACTCCTTCCCTCACGACCCTCCCACTGCACTGCACTGCACGCCCCACTGCATGTGCCACTGTCCCGCATCTGCCTGCTCCAATTCTCCCCTGCCTTCCCCCCATGCGTGCCTCTCCCCCTCCCCCGCAGCACCTGGTGGCGGTGGCGGCACCCAAAGAACAGAAGCGCCTCCCCCAGCTGCTGCCCGCCCTTCTGCAGCAACGCGCGGTGCTGCGGAGGGATAGGGGAGGAGAGAAAGAGGGGGAAGGGAGCATGTGAAAAGGGAGGGGTGGAGGCGAGGAGGACGCGGAAGAAGAGTGGAGTGCGGTGTGGGGACTTGGCTGCCCCACTCGCTGCCACGCGGCCAGAGACAGCATGCGGTGCCAGGGGGTGCGGCGTGCCAATGGAATAACAGCTGGCAGGCGTGGAGGGCAGAGGGGCAGTGGAAGCAGAGGGGCAGTGGAAGCAGAGGGGCAGTGGAAGCAGAGGGGCAGTGGAAGCAGAGGGGCAGTGGAAGCAGAGGGGCAGTGGAAGCAGAGGGGCGGCACCTGCAGGAAGGCTCTGAAGGGCGCGAGGCCAGTGCCGGGGCCGACCATCACGATGGGGCGCGTGGGGTCGGTGGGCGGGCGGAAGTGCGACGAGCGGATGAACGCCGGCAGCAGCACGGGGGCCGAGGGGGCGGGGGAGGTGGAGGCGGGGGTGGGCAGGGGGAGGTGGCGGTGCAGGAAGGAGGAGCAGACGCCGTGGTGGATGCGGCCTGCTGGGGTGATGTCCCTCACCACCGCACACGTTATGTGCAGCGCGCCCGGCTCGTGCCTGGGCATACAGCACAGGGCGCAATGGGGGTAGGGGCAGAGGGGCAGAGGGGCAGAGACCATGGGAAGTGGCAGCAGGCAGTCCTGGGGGGGGAAGCGGAAGAGTGCACGTGTGTGGAGAGTGGGATGTGGCCGGGCATGCTATAGAAGGTGAAGAGGAAATGAGATGCAAGAGACGAACAAGAGGAGCAAACACAAGGATGGATTCTGTTGGCGGGGATTGGTGGAGTGTGGATGGAATGACACACGTGGGCCGTGTGGCAGGGTGCATCAGAACACTCAGCAGGGAGGCAATGCGGGAAGAGAGAGCGCACCTGGGGTGGGAGGAGATGGAGTAGAAGCGCGGCTGCAGGCGCGGCGCAACGGAGGCGAGGAACACAGCGAGGGGCGGGCGCGCGGAGGGGAATGCCTGCAGCACCTCCAGCAGCGAGCGGTGTGCCGCCGCCACCCACTCGCGGTACTCCGCCTTGCCTCCGTCGCTGGCCAGGTGCTTGAGGCGTGCCGCCTCGTCGGGGTGGGAGGCAAAGTGCGCCAACACTGCCAGCGCTGCCTGGTGCAGCGCGGCCAGCGCAGTGGGAAAGAAGGAGGTCGCGTTAGGGCATGGGAAGGGACGGGCGGCAACAGGTGTGCAGAGGGGGATGGGCGGGTGACACTGCTTGGCACAGCTGGCAGCAAGCAGGAGGAGCCTGTGCTGATATAAATGCACAGCAAGGGCACCAAATGCAAAAGAGAGGCAGGGAAAAAGGTTGACCTTGCGCGGCGAGGAGTGGAGGTCAGGCAGCGAGGCGAGCACGGAGCGGATGGAGTGGCGGCCGGGAGGGGGCGGTGGCAGGGAGGACGAGGGCGAGGGGAGATGCAGGGAGATGACGTCATCCAGGTCCAATCCCAGACACTTGGCCACTGCTGCCACGTCAGCGTCGCTGTTCTCAGGAAACACTGCCACGTGGTCGCCCACCTCGTACCTGCATGGCATGTCACGGGATGGCAGGGGATGGCAGGGGATGGCAGGGGATGGCAGGGGATGGCAGGGGATGGCAGGGGATGGCAGGGGATGGCAGGGGATGGCAGGGGATGACCGGGGATGGCCGGGGATGGCAGGGGATGGCAGGGGATGGCAGGGGATGGCCGGGGATGGCAGGGGATGGCAGGGGATGGCCGGGGATGGCAGGGGATGGCAGGGGATGGCAGGGGATGGCCGGGGATGGCCGGGGATGGCAGGGGATGGCAGGGGATGGCCGGGGATGGCCGGGGATGGCAGGGGATGGCAGGGGATGGCAGGGGATGGCCGGGGATGGCCGGGGATGGCAGGGGATGGCAGGGGATGGCAGGGGATGGCCGGGGATGGCCGGGGATGGCAGGGGATGGCAGGGGATGGCAGGGGATGGCAGGGGATGGCAGGGGATGGCAGGGGATGGCAGGGGATGGCAGGGGATGGCAGGGGATGGCAGGGGATGGCAGGGGATGGCAGGGGATGGCAGGGGATGGCAGGGGATGGCAGGGGATGGCAGGGGATGGCAGGGGATGGCAGGGGATGGCAGGGGATGGCAGGGGATGGCAGGGGATGGCAGGGGATGGCAGGGGATGGCAGGGGATGGCAGGGGATGGCAGGGGATGGCAGGGGATGGCAGGGGATGGCCGGGGATGGCAGGGGATGGCAGGGGATGGCAGGGGATGGCCGGGGATGGCAGGGGATGGCCGGGGATGGCAGGGGATGGCAGGGGATGGCAGGGGATGGCCGGGGATGGCCGGGGATGGCAGGGGATGGCAGGGGATGGCCGGGGATGGCCGGGGATGGCAGGGGATGGCAGGGGATGGCAGGGGATGGCCGGGGATGGCCGGGGATGGCAGGGGATGGCAGGGGATGGCAGGGGATGGCCGGATGGCAGGGGATGGCAGGGGATGGCAGGGGATGGCAGGGGATGGCAGGGGATGGCAGGGGATGGCAGGGGATGGCAGGGGGTGGCAGGGGGTGGCAGGGGATGGCAGGGGATGGCAGGGGATGGCAGGGGATGGCAGGGGATGGCCGGGGATGGCAGGGGATGGCAGGGGATGGCAGGGGATGGCAGGGGATGGCAGGGGATGGCAGGGGATGGCAGGGGATGGCAGGTGGCAATGAGGGTGTGGTTGCAGTGGCAAGTGGTTGCTTGTGGCAAGTGGTTGCTTGTGGGGGGCCGAGACGAGCATACTGCAGATGCGGGCAGGGCGAGAGGTCGAGCTCCACATGCAGCGTGGATCTGTCTGAGTTGGGCGCCTGCAGCTCCCTCACCACTGCCACCCGCGCCCTGCCATGTGCATGAGAGATACACGCCACACGCACGCCACATAGACGCCAGCAGGCCAGCAGGTGGAAGGAGAGGGGAAAATCGGGAGACAGAGGTGAGAGGGTTGAAGGAAGCAGATGAATCAGCAGGGTAGTGTGATCAGTCTAGGGAATGTGATGTTGGAAAAGGCCGGAGGCAACCAACACACAGATGCGAGTAGATTTTGTAAAAATGTGTTCTCTTTTACCCTCGAATATTACCAAGATTGCACACATTGGGCGTACAAGCTTGACAAAAGGGACCGCCCAATAGCTTCCAACCGAGCTTAGTGGTGGGGTGGGGGCCAGTGCTGTTCATCCGAATCCCAAACAACCCCTTATACCTTTCTCACTTTCCGGTTTCTAGTACCGCTCACCTGCCAATGCTGTGCGAGTGCCACCCGACAGCAGCAATCGCCTCCCCCATGCTCATCTGCTCCTCCTCCTCCTCCCCGCCATTCTTATGCTCCCCCACGCCATTCACCTGCTTTTCTCCTCCATTCACCTTCCCATTCGTCTCCCCGTTCATCTTGCCATTCATCTCTTCATGCACGTGCCCATTCAACCCCCCGTTGAGCTCTCCATTCTCCCCAGCAACCCCAGCCTGCCCCACTCGGCTGTGGAACCGCACTTGATATTCCTGCACCTCCTCCTCCTCGTCCTCCCACTCCCCCGCTGCCCCCTCGCCCTGCTGCCCCTCGCCCCCCGCCCCCCGGCCCAGCACGAGCGCCTCAAAGCCCTTCCACAGCCCCGCCCGCCTGCCAACGATGCACACGTGGGGGACGAATGGGGTGAGAGGGGTGAGTGGGGCAAGAGAGGTGAGTGGGTGCGAGTGGGGACGAGTGGCTGAGTGAGTGAGAGGCTGAGTGAGGGCGAGTGGTGGCGAGAGGGGTAAGGCATGGGGTGCAGGGGGGAGGCAGATTCAGGACGACGTACTCACCAGGCCTTGAAGTCGTCCTCGATGCACTGGTCGTCGTCTCCCAACCCCACCTCCGCCACGCGCTGCCCGCCTGCCAGACAATACAATATACCACACGCGGTGAGGTCATGGATGGGGGGTGGTGATGGTGGTTGATGCGGGGTGATGGTTGGGGGAGCGGAGAGCAGAGAGGTGGGTGGGGTGGGGGAACAGCAACTGACGCAGAGCGATTGCTGGCACGGCGCATGAGGCGAAGGAAGACGCGGTAGCCAGGGAGGGCAGGCAGGGTATGGGAGGGTATGGAGGGCAGGGAGGGCGGGGAGGGCAGGGAGGGCAGGGAGGGCAGGGAGGGCAGGGAGGGTATGGGGTAGCAGCGTACCGAGGGCAGCGAGGTGCTTGTCAAGCATCTTGCCCATCTGCACGCGCACACACACAGAGCAATGGGGGTGGGCACACACAAGGTGGAGTTGGAAGATGAGGCGGTGTGAAGTATGAGGTGAACATGGGGTTGCACGGGTGGGCAGGGGGAATGGAACGGTAGTGGAGTGGAAGGTGGTCGGACGTATGGCAATGGTAATGGATGGGGGAGCAGCCACGCGAGCAGTGACGTTGAAGGGCGTGACAGCAAAGCAGGATGCTGTACCGCTTCACAGCGTGTTGGCTGGCATGGCAGCAGGTGGAGCAAGGTGGGGAATGAGAGTGGCATACCAGGTTGAAGTGCTCGTACTGCCGATTTCCCAGCCCGAAGACAGCAAAACGGAGCCCCTGCAGTGGCACGGGGCTGTCGTCCTGGTGGGAGTAGAGGAGGTGCAGGCGGGACGGATGAGGGCTGATGCATGCAGAGAGGGGCGGCAGCAGGAAGAGAGCATAGCAGCAACCAGCGATGAACATGAATGCCACCATGCATGCACGACCACATGCATGCACGACCACATGCATGCACGACCACATGCATGCACGACCACATGCATGCACGACAACATGCATGCACGACCACATGCATGCACGACCACATGCATGCACGACCACATGCATGCACGACCACATGCATGCACGACCACATGCATGCACGACAACATGCATGCACGACCACATGCATGCACGACCACATGCATGCACGACCACATGCATGCACGACAACATGCATGCACGACAACATGCATGCACGACCACATGCATGCACGACCACATGCATGCATGAGCGGCTGTCAGCCTCTGCAGCGGTGCGCACCTGAGCCTCTGCATGAGCAGCGGTGGCGTGCAGCCATTTGAAGAAGCGCTGCGCATCGTCCGTTGGCTCGCCGTCCCCGTAGCTGAGGGCGCGGCAGGGCAAGGCGGCGACAGGGATAGGGCGGGTGGAGTCAGATGTGGCGCACAGAGACATGCAGCTCGCGTGTGTGGCGTGGGGGACGCGATAGCAGCATGGTGGCAGCAGCAAGAAGCGCAGCAGAGCACAGAGGTGCGCAGAGGAGCAGGCAGCAGAGCAGGGGGCAGTGCAGTGGCAGCTCACGTGGCGACGAGGAAGAAGGTGGCGTGGAAGGCCTTCAGCTTCGCTGTGAAGCCATCGCTGTCCTCCGCTAGATCATCCTGCCGTGGGGCCATGGGGTGATGGCGCATGCAGCACGACGTGAGGCATGCTGGCATGGGAGCACGTCAGGGGTGTTCACATGCAACGTGTGCGAGTGTGCAGTGTGGAGGAGTGCGTTTTGCTTCCATTCGACCACACGCCCGCCCACAAACGTACCAGGCTGCTGAGCTCCACGGTGCAGTGCGATGCGAAGTGGTGCTGCAGCTCTGACACAAGTGTCTGTAAGGGCGACGAGGGGCACGGGTTGCGGGTGAGGAAAGAGGGGGAAATGGTGAGGCGGCCGGGGGAGTGGGGGGGCTTGAGGCGGCAGGGGGGAGGGTGAAACGGCAGGGAGGGGTGATTGGGCGGAAGGGATGAGGCGGCAGGTGGGTTGCGGCGGCAGAGAGGGGAAGTGAGACAGCGAGAACGGGAGCATGGGAGGGCAAGGCATCTCGCGCAGCCACGCACTGCCCGCCCATGCAACCCCCTCGTCGCACGCTCTGCCTTCCCACCCACCCCATCCAACCGCGCCTCTCATCCGCGCAACCCGAGAAGCGCGCCGCGCCCTAACAGGCTCGCCCGCGGTGCACGCGGCCCACCTTGGCGAATCCCTCGGACGTGCCCGTCTGCGTGCCGAACAGAATGCCGATCGCCACCTTCGAGTCGTCACGCTCCGCCTTATCCCCCTCGCCCTTCCGCTCCTCGCCATTCGTCGCCGCCACCGCCGCTACATCCTTTGTAGCGAGCGGCTGGTACTTGCTGCCGCCGCCGGGCCCCGCGGCGACTGGTGCTTTGGACAGCGAGGCGGCGCGATGGCGAAGCACGAAGAGCGCGAGCGACGACACGAGCACCGCCAGCGACACGAGCGCCACGAGCGCCGGCGTGGGGCCGGCGGCGAGCGCGACCGTGGCGTCGGGAGAGACGGCGTGCAGCGACTCCGCCAGGTGGTCCGCCGCCATCGCCGCTGCGCTGCCGTCGCCGATCATGCTGACGCGGCGACTATGCTGACACGGCGCCTATGCTGACACGGCGACTATGCTGACACGGCGCCTATGCTGACACGCGCCTATGCTGACACGGCGACTATTCTGTGCAGTCACGCTGTTAGAGCTATTAGCTGTCCGATAGACGATAATGTTAGAGCGACTACGCTGTGAGAGTGAACACGGCAGCGACTTGGAGGCCACAGCGGGAGAAAGGTTCCCGGCTCGCCAGGGCTTGTGAGGTAAGACGCGAAGGCGAGCAAGAAGTGCGGTCTCGAGATTCGCGGAAAGGATCTGCGATAGGAGAAATAGGAAAGTGACGTCAGTGCACGGGGAAGGGGAGGCTCGTCGTGTATGTGCGGTGGTGGTGTGGTGTGAGTGTGATGTGACCGTGTCTGCTACGCCTGTCACGACAACTCACGACTCACAACAAGCTTTGGACGTTGAGGTCGTATCTCCAGCAAGTGTCAATAGGGGCCTGTGTCATGACACCAACTCGAAAACACATGGAGGGCTATCCCTCCTGGTGTCAGCTAAACCAATTAATGAGATCACGGGAAATCGTCCAATGTGCCCAACATTGACACCAGGCTGGAGCCGCGCTCACACGCGGCTCCACTTGGTGTCAACCGTAAACAACGCTTGACACCAAGCCTTTCTTGACACTTGCTGGAGATACGACCGAGTGCGAGAGTGCTGGTCGCTCGGGGTCGCACGAGATGGTGACTTCGACCTGGCGACCGCTGCTGTGCTGTCGGCGAACCAATTGTAGCGACTGGAGCGCGCATCTCCACCGCATAACTGAGTACACGTCAGACGTCACTTCCAAGACATGCGGAGTGACACCAAGGCTGGTGACGAGGATGACCAATGCGTTATTCGCTTTTAGCCTTCTACACTACATGCAATATGATGTTAAGTTCGTTGGCCCAAGTCTACATCTAAAACGGAGTTGACCAAATCTAGGATGAAACACGGTGAAAGACTTAGTGAAGTAAGTTTCCGTGATTTAATGGCGATATTGGCGACTATGGACCTATGGTTCTCCAATAGCCTCCAGCTTATATTTGATAGAACTACTATCTTTATGATTAGAAAGCTTTTAAAAAAGAAAGGTGAAATGCGCGAAGTGTACGGAAGCTTGTGGCAGCCCATTTGCAAACACCTCGAAAGTGACTCGTCAAATGCAGCCCCTTGTTTGGCGTTTCAGCCCTCAAATCTGTGCTGCGATCTGGCTCACTCCAAGTTGCGCCGCGCCCACATCTAGTAACTAACCATGCCGTAGGAGCAACCGATGTCATCTATGATCAAGTGAAAAGCTTTTAATTTCCGCCGCCCCTAGCATTGGCTTACCACCGCGAGGGTTACACCTTAGGTCGGTAGATGGTAGAGCAGCGGTGAACAACCCGAATATTCTTGCCATCAGTCCCCGTCCAGTCCGATCGACGGCCACGATGAGCCAGGAGCTGCGTGCGATGCGGCGGTTGCAGCAGCAGCTGCAGCTGCGCGGGGTGACGGTGGATCGCGCGGCGCTGCAGAGCGTGGTGGAGTTCGTGCTGGAGGCGGGGTGCAGCGAGCAACAGGCCGTCGACGACCTGCTCCGCGGCATCACCGCGCTCGAACGTACGCCGCCTACTGCTCGCGCCAGCTAGCGGGGAATTGGTTTGAGGCGCCTCAAAGTCGAACGTACGCCGCTCAATGCGCAATAAGTTAGCGGAGAATGGGGATGATCGCGGATAGATTGGTGGATGCGAGCGTGGGGCGACAGAGGAGGGATTCGTAGTGAGCGTGTGGGTCTGGTCTGTGAGAGTGGCGCATAGTTATGATGGTAGGCGCGTCAGTGCCCGTGGACGGCGCGGTTTGCGCCGGAACGTGTGGAGCGGCAGGCGGGAGCGAGGAGGATGGGGAACGAGGAGGATGGGGAGCGAGGAGGATGGGGACGAGGAGGATGGGGAGCGAGGAGGATGGGGAGCGAGGAGGATGGGGACGAGGAGGATGGGGAGCGAGGAGGATGGGGACGAGGAGGATGGGGAGCGAGGAGGATGGGGAGCGAGGAGGATGGGGACGAGGAGGATGGGGAGCGAGGAGGATGGGGAGCGAGGAGGATGGGGACGAGGAGGATGGGGAGCGAGGAGGATGGGGAGCGAGGAGGATGGGGAGCGAGGAGGATGGGGAGCGAGGAGGATGGGGAGCGAGGAGGATGGGGAGCGAGAATGAGGCTTAGCCGTCAGTCTCTGGTCCGACGCCTGTTCACGGCGTCGCCTCACCTCTCTTTCCTCTTGCCCCTCTTTCCTCGCCCCTCGCCCCTCGCCCGCAACGGCAGTGGGCGTGCAGGTGGTGTCGCGCGATGTGGTCCGCCAGGTCCTTCTGCAGCCCCTCCGCGCGCGCTCCCGCGCCCCCCCTGCTGATGCGGGGGGAACTGCAGGCGGAAGCAGCCGCGGCGAGCACGCAGGGGGGGGCGCGCGGCCAGATGCGCTAGGGGGCGTGGGGAGGAACGGGGGAGCGGGGGAGGTGATGGAGGGGGGGCGGGGGGAGGGTGTGGAGGGGTGGATGCGCGAGTGGCGCGCGCTGGAGGTGATCGACGCCTTCACCATGCCACGTGTGGACTATGACCCCCTCCGCAAACACTTCTCCAGGTCAACCCTCCCTGCTTCCCCCGCCCCTAAGCTGACCGTGTGTGTGTGGTGGCCGTGGGTGAGTTGGGCGTGTGTGAGGACGCGAGGGCGGGACAGTTTGAGTGGGTGTGGCCGTGGGAGGGAGGAGAGAGGACGTGAAGGCACAAAGTTAGCGATCGAAATGCCATGCTTCCTCTCCTCCTCATCCCCTTCCCCTTCTCCCCACTCCCGTTCCTGCCTTCTCACCCCTTTCCCGTCACCCGCTGTCTCTTCCCCACCCCGCCTGTCACCCCTCCCCACACTCACCTTGCTCCTGTGCTCGCATGGCACCGCGTGGCCAATGGCCGCCACAAGTCCAAACTGTTGCTGCTCCTTCTCAAGCACCTTCACATGCAAACTCACACCGTTCCTCCACCACCATGCACCGCACTGCACCACAGCTCCCTTCCTTATTCTTTGTTTTTGAAATTGTTCTTGATCCCACGTGGCCCCCATCCCCTGTCCTCCCCCGTGCCCCCAACCCCACGTGCATTGCATGCAGGCACCGGGGCGCGCTGTCCCTGGCAGGGGCGCCGAGCAGCAAGGCGGACGTGCTGCGGCGCCGCCTGCACCTGCTGCTGGCGCGCACTGCCCGCCACCGCCGCTTCGCCGTGCCGCTGCTGCCTCTGGGCTCCGCGCAGCAGCAGCAGGAGCAGTACACCGAGGTGAGGTGCCATGCCATGTAGCAGGGGGAACAGGTCCTGTGGGTGAAGAAGGGAGGAAACGAGAGCTTTGGGAGTCTTTCCAACACTCGTTTCTTTCTTCCACTGTGTTTTCCGTGCTTCCATTGCCCATCCAACGACCTCTTTTCAAGTCAGCACCCACACGTTTCTCCCTCCCTTTCTCCCACACCTCTCCTTTTACCTTTCTAGCCCTCTTGCTCCCTTGCAAATCCCCTGCTTTTCTCGCCCCCCCTCACTGTCCACTGTTCCTCGCCCCTGGTGCAGCTGACGCCAGTGCAGGCGCTGGTGGGCGGCACAGCGGCGTGGCAGCAGAGGCGGCATCACGTGGTGGGCGTGGTGGCACAGCTGGAGGACGGCCGCTTCTTCCTTGAAGACCTCTCCGCCTCGCTGCCGCTCGACCTGACCCATGCCATATCCGCCCTCCCCTCCCTCCCTCCACTCTCACCACACTCACTTCCGGACGTACCACCTCACTCTCAACCTCTCCATACACGCACACTCACACCAAGCAATTGATTTCCACAATGTATTTTCCTTGACCTGGCTTCTACGCATCTCTCCTCTCTCGCCCCCTATCCCTTTGTCTCTCCCATCTCCTTTCCTCTATCCTCGTCTCCCTCGTTGTCTCCCTGTGAACCCATCTCGACCACCCCCTCCGTGTGACCGCGCGTGTGCGGCACGGCACTGCACGGCATCGCCGGGCTACTTCACCGAGAATTCAGTCGTCATTGCCTCGGGCCACCTCACTCCCTCCGGCTGCTTCAACGTGCGCGCTCTCTGCCTCTCTCTCCCGCCCCCTTCCCCATTTCCCCTCCCCTATTTCTTTCTCTCCCTCCCATTCCTTCCTTCTCTCTACCGCATCCTCTCTTCCCGTTCCATCCTTGCGTGATGTAACATCTTCAATGGCACCCCACTCCACCACATCCCACTCCAATTCAAACCATATCACGAGATCTGAACACATCCCAACCCTAAATCATAAACTGCGTTCCATCTGAGCGCTCAAACGTCAATCCCCCTGCGCCCTAATTGTTGCCTGTCCCCCCCCAGGTGGCCTCGCTGGAGTTCCCCCCGGTGGAGCCACGGGAGGAGGCGCTGTCCCTGGCGGAGGGGCTGGACCTGTTCGGCGCCGGGCCCATCGACGCCCACCGCTACGTGCGTGTCACCACCCCCCCCCCCCAACCCCCCCCCACCCCCGATCTTCTAGCACCATTCGGTGCGTGCATCTCAGCAAGGGTGTGTGCGTGGGAGGGTGCATATGTGCATGTGAGGGTGCATATGTGCATGTGAGGGTGCATATGTGCATGTGAGGGTGCATATGTGCATGTGAGGGTGCATATGTGCATGTGAGGGTGCATATGTGCGTGTGAGGGTGCATATGTGCATGTGAGGGTGCATATGTGCATGTGAGGGTGCATATGTGCATGTGAGGGTGCATGTGTGCGTGTGAGGATGGATGTTTGCCCATAAACCTGGGAACTTGGGGCATGCGGATTCGGCTTGTGGCCGCTCCTCTGCCATTGTGCCTCCCGCCGCTTTCTGCCACACCACTGCACTGCACCCTCTGCACGCCGCACTTTTTCTCATCTGACTCGCCCCCTCCCTTCCATTCTGCTGCTGCCGCCCTCTCCTCATTCACCACACACTTCCCCACCATTTCTTCCATCTCGCTCCAGTGCTCTTCTCTCGTCATCACGCTCCCCTCTCCCTCCTGTGTCGATCGCACCCCCTGCCCCACCGCATGAGCAGGCGTGGGTGCAGCAGCGCGAGGCAGAGGAAGTGGCGGAGGGGCACATGTTCATCGTCATGGCGGACATTGCCCTGCATGACCCCCAGGTCACTCCTCCCTCCTCCCTCCTCCCTCCTCACTCCATCGCCATGGCACACATCGCCATGGCACACATCGCCATGGCACACATCGCCATGGCACACATCGCCCTGCACCACACCAAGGTCACTCCTCCATCACGCTTCTCTGACATGCAGTGAATTGTGAGAAGATGTTGCACTTCTCGAGTTCACGCTTTCACACCTGGGATTTCCCAGTTCTTAACTTCCCACCTCCCTCCCATTCACCCCGGAAGTGCCCTTTGCTCTCTCCCCTGCACCACCTCTGCATGGATGTGCTTCGGCAGACCCTGTCTCGCCTGGCCACGCTGCTGGGAGCATACGATGCCGTAAACGACCCGCCGCGCCTCTTCTCCTCCCTCCCATTCACCCGGGATGCCTCCCTTGCTGTCTCCCTTTGCCTTCTCCCCTGCACCACCTCTGCATGTGTGTCCGGCAGACCCTGCAGCGCCTGGCCACGGTGCTGGGGGCGTACGACGCCCTGGACGAGCCACCGCGACTCTTTCTGCTCATTGGGGACCTCTGCTCCCCGCCCTCCGCCCTCGCTTCCCCGCACCTGCACGCTCACAGGTGCCTGCTGCCTCTGCTTCCTTTACTTTCTTCTCTTGCATAAGTAGCTCCTTGCACACGGGCGCTTATTCTTCTGTGCATTACGCATCGCTCTGCACTCCCTTCTCTTCCTTCTTACCCCACTTCCCTTTATGCCTCCACACCAACCATTCCTGCACCCGTCCTTCCCTCTTTTCACCCGCTCCTGCTTCCCCGCCCAGGGAGGCCTTCTCACAGCTGGCGAGGGTGATAGGCGCGCACCGCCGCCTCAAGGACAAGTCGCTCTTCGTCTTTGTGCCCGGCCAGGCCGACCCAGGTGGTTACCTTCTTCCCCTCCTGCCTCCCTTGCCATCTCCTGCCCTCGCTCTCTTCTTCTGCCCAAGGGGCCTGTCAAGTTACATGAGAAGTTGCTTTTTAGAGGCACAAAGGCTTACTGCAAGAGCACCAGAGTTGATGAGGAAAACATCCCTTGAAGCCACCCCGGAGCAGCCTCTGAATTTTTGAAAACACAGCACAGTGCGTGCCATCTTTCTGCTCTCTTCCCCACACTGCTCCACCTGCCCATGCCCCTACCCCCGTGTGCCTGCCCCCAGGCCCATGCGCAGTGTTGCCACGCCCATCGCTGCCGCGCTTCTTCACAGACCCCATCACTGACGCCCTCCCCTCTGCTGTCTTCTCCTCCAACCCTTCCCGGTGCGCCCCTTTCTCCCCCTCTATCCCCCATCCCCGTTTGTTCGCTCTTCGCACCTCCTTTCTCCTCCCTTCCCTACGTTCTTTCACACCCTCTGGTTCATTTTCACACATGCATATAGTACACATGCGCGCACACAACATGTGCATACGTGCCATCCTCTGAGGTCATCACCGTGCATTCCTCTCCCTTCCCCTCTCTGCCTCTCTGTCCCTCCATTGAAGTTCTTTCCACCCAATTTGATTTCTTCTCGTGCTTGTTGTTCAATTGCATCCTCCCTTCCCTCCCTCCCTCCCTCCCTCCCTCCCTCCCTCCCTCCCTCCCTCCCTCCCTCCCTCCCTCCCTCCCTCCCTCCCTCCCTCCCTCCCTCCCTCCCTCCCTCCCTCCCTTACTCCTCCCTCTCTCCCTCCCGCTCCCCCCGCCCCCATCTTGGAACCCTCACGTCAGCCTCAAGTTCTATTCGCAGGAGCTGGTGGTGCTCAGGGCGGACCTGCAGCGCCGCATGCAGCGCTGCGCCGTGCTGCCGCCACTCAAGGACACCGACCCCTTCACCCATGTCAGTCACACTCACCCTCTCACGCCTGCTCCTCTCGCCATGGCCTAGAGCTCGTCTCGTTGGAAGCTCACGAGTCTAGGACTTTCACCCACGCGTATTGCGCTTCAAGTAGGTGCCCTCCCTCTTATATTCGCTCGAGCCAGCCACAGCTGCCCTTCCCTGGCCTCGCCCTGTGCACTGCATGCGCATCCCTGCCTGTGTGCCGCTGTGCCCCCCGGGCGGCAGGTGGCGACCACGGTGGTGCACCAGGCGCATCTGAGCCCGCTGCCCCTGGTCGCCCAGCCCGTGTTCTGGGACTATGACTTCACTCTGCACCTCTTCCCCGCTCCCCATGTGGTATGCTGGCACGCCACGTGATCAGTTGCTTCATTCCCTCCTGTTTGAGTCGATGTCATATTTGATTTGCCACTGGCAGTCTCGATCTATCTTGTGTTACTGTGCTGCTATCCCCTTGTCCACATCACTCATCAACCCACAAGCATACCATGGTTTACCATTCATCCCAGCTTTGGCACCTTCGTCAGACGCCCCCCTCTGCCCCCTCAATTACACTCCTATGGGACTCTCCCTTATCTCCCATTTCATCCTGCCAGCTGATTCTGGCAGACTCATCAGGGCAGAGCAGCGCTGTGGTGAATGGCATCACGTGCATCAACCCCGGCTCCTTCTCCCTCGATGGCACCTTCACTGCGTACTACCCAGCCTCACGCTCAGTGGAGCACTGCAATGTGTGATGCATTCGCATTCGCTAGAGTTATGTACCAATCTCACTCGGGTGGTCTGATGCTGCAATGCACTCAATTCAGAAGACCGCAACCCTATATCCAACCCCGGGAACAAACATTCGGGTGTTGTACAAGGACCAAGCAGGCACATGAAGGCAGATGTTCAAGTGTGGGGGAAGGGTGGGGGTTCAATTATGGGGAGGGAGGGGTTGTAACTTGTAAGTTTGCATCTACCGGTAGGTGTTATGGTACTGGTACATAATGACATACGCACAAAAACACTTGTATTCTGTCTTGAGCTGAAACAGCTCCGTACTGCGTGTGGAGTTCAATACACATCATTCAGGCACAGGTTGACTCACCACCACACACACACACGCTCAATCACAATTTTAACCTCTAGGGTGGCGCGAGCTCAACAGAGGGGGGAGAGTGCTCACAACAACTCTTCCACACACGTCACCACCCGGATGCCACACCACTTCCCAGAAGAAATATTCTCACAACAACACTTCTATAACTCAGTAATTTACACACTTCACCACCCAGGAGAATGGTGTGGCATGGTGGTGCTGCGTGGCATGGCATGGCATGGTTGAATGGCATGGCGAACAGCAGCTCTCTCATGGCGGGCAGCAGCTCACTCACATGGCGGGCAGCAGGACAGGCAGGTAGCGCCTTCCAGTGCACCGCCCCCGCTGACATGGTGGGGCAGGGGGGGAAAGGGGGGAACGAAGAGGGGGGTGAAGGGAAAGGGTTGTGGTGGGAAAGAGGTTACGGGTTCGCAGGGGACATGGTGGGGGGCGGGGGGCAGAAGCAGCGGCAAGAGAAAGAATCCTTGCTGGTGTCACCGCACTGGACCTCACACCCCCTCGTCTAATGCGAACCACACCTCATTCCACTTCATCTCACCACACGGCATCTCTCCGCACTGCATCGAACCGCTCTGCACCTCACAGTATCTGACTTGGTTCCAGTTGTCCCCCAGCCCCACAGCGAGCTGAGAGGCAATGGTTTCCCCCAAACTGCCCATGCCACATGTGAGAGAAGGGGAGAGGGGCAGATGTGGCAGAGGAGGGAGAGGGGGCAGTGGCGGCAGAGGAGAGAGGGAAGGATTAGGGCCAGAAGTGAGCAAATTCACAGGCGTGGGAAAGAGGCATAGGGCAGAAGGGAGAAAGCAGAAGGGACAAGAATGTTAAAGAAGGAACCGAAGCACCGCACCTGTTGAGTTGGCTCGGCCCCATGACATGGCACAGAGCAGCGAGGGCAAACACAGAGCCTCTCCCCCCCACACCTCTCCCCCATGCCTTCTCCGCCGCTGCAACATTGGCGAGCCACTCTTCTGTCGCGCTGGCAGAAGCCGCTCTTCTGCTGCGCTGGCACAATTCGTCCTGTCGAGGGCTTGGTAGGTGTTGTGTGCCATTCTAGCTATATCGACTTGCATGCCTCATTTGTAATCTTATGTTCAATGTTTTTATCAGTTTCTAGTGAAACTCTTGCCAACTTCTCTGTGAACACAACAATCAGTAAGAACACTACTAGAACGATACGATCACTCGCACAACCGTTGCGTAGTGACTCTCCGCAACCATTACCATTACCGATACCATTAACGTTACCATTACCGTTACCATTACCGCTACCATTACTGTTACAATAGTAAGCACAACGAGGAGCCATAGCTAGGGTTTAGCTAGCTAGGCAAGAGAGAAATGAACAAAGGAGGGGGTTCACTAGTAAGCAGGGCAGTACATATAGCAAACCCTAATTTGGGTTGTACTCACTATAGAGTACCCCACTGCAGACTAGACAATGATAACATTCTGACACACCCCCATAGTCAAAGTGGGGTATAATAAGCACAGCAAGCAGTCATAGAGCAGGTTCACAAGGACAAGCAAAGCTAGAGGCAGTCGCAGAGGGCAAGTGAGGAGGAAGAGTGACTGTGAGAGGAGAGGGGATGGGAGGCGACGGTGGAAGCTGCAGACACACAGGAGCAGCTGGCTCAGTGGCTACCGAAGCAATGGCCCGGACTACAGGAGTAACTGGCTCCGCGGAGATTGTAGCCTCCTGACTGGAGCAACTGACCCACAGGCGACTGGCGACTACCGGAGATTGTAGCCTCCGGACTACTGGCGCTGCTGGCGACACGACTGCTGCCTCCGATCGACTTCCCCCAACTGTCCCACACCCCTTTCACACACCCCTTGCTGAACCCCTAGCTCCACTCCCACGTCACCCCCCCTTAAACCCTAAACCCTTGGCTCCCACACACCCACCCCCCTCAGCGGCAGCTGCAGCAGTGGGAGACGGAGGAGGAGGAGGAGCTGCAGGTTACCCACACCGTTCACCCCCATGCCCGCCACCCCCAAACCCTAACGCAGGTAGGAGCGCGGGAAGCAGCAGGGGCGGTTCACGGAGGGAAAGGGAGGAGGCGGGGGGGTCTCCTGGGCGCCACGAAGGAGCAGGGCGCGGGCCCCCCGAGGGCGCCACGGCTGGTGACGGGAGGAGGGGGCTGCGCACGGGCCCCCGAGGGCGGCTCGACGGGCGACGAGAGGGGCCGCGCGCGGGCCCCCAAGGCGCCACGACGAGGCGACGGGAGGGGGGGGGGGGCGCGCGGGCCCCCAAGGTGCCGCGACGAGGCGACGGGAGGGGGGGAATGCGCGGGCCCCCAAGGCGCCGCGACGAGGCGACGGGAGGGGCCGGCGCGCGGGCCCCCATGAGAGCGCCACGACGGGTGACGGGAGGGGGTGGCGCGCTGGCCTCCGGGGCGCCGCGACGAGTGACAGGAGGGGGGCAGCGGGCGGGCCCCCTGAAGACGCCACAACGGGCGACGGGGGGCAGCGCACGGGCCCCCTGAAGGCGCCTCGACGGACGGTTAAACCGCCACGCGCCCTGAGCGCGCGGCGGGCAGAAAAAGCCACCACGCGCTCGGAGCGCGTGGCGGAAAGAAAACAACACGTCGCGTACCACGGGGCGCGCGACAAACAGAACCACAGCGGAAGCAGTTGGTGGGCCCACAGGCCAGGAGCGTAAATGCTCTGAGACCATGTTACAATAGTAAGCACAGTGAGGACCATAACTAGGGTTTAGCTAGCTAGGCAAGAGAGAAATGAACAAAGGAGGGGGTTCACTAGTAAGCAGGGCAGTACATATAGCAAACCCTAATTTGAGTTGTACTCACTATAGAGTACCCCACTGCAGACTAGACAATGATAACATGCTAACAATTACCTCTACGATTACCGTTACCATGACCATGAACCCTACCGTTACCATTATCATTACCATTACCACTACCATTATCAAAGCCATTAGCATTGCCATTAGCATTGCCATTACCATTGCCCTTACCATTGCCATTGCCACTGCCACTGCCATTGCCATTGCCATTACCATTACCGTTACCATTACCGTTACCATTACCGTTACTGTTACCATTACCGTTACAATTACCGTTACCATTACCGTTACCATTACCGTTACCATGACCGTTACCACTACCATTACTGTCAGAACATATAGCTTACTTGTTTCTGTAGGCTATAGTGGGGTATCCCATATGGGGTACAACCCAAATTAGGGTTTCCTATTTGTACTCACTTCGTTCATAGTCATTTCATTCTCGTTCATATCTTCTCATGGAATCAGAGCAGGTCCCTTCCTAGGGACTGTTCCTAGGGCCCACCGAAGCGCGCCCCGAGGCGCGCGTTTTTTTTTAGCGACCCTCCGTGTCGCCCTTACCGCCGTGCTCTCGCTTAGGCCCCTCGTCGGCCCCGCTAAGGCCCCTCGTCGGCCCCGCTTAGGCCCCTAGTCGGCCCCACTTAGGCCTCGTCGGCCCCGCGTAGGCCCCGTCGGCCCCGCTTAGGCCCCGCTTCGGCCCCGCGTCGGCCCCGCTTAGGCCCCGTTGGCCCCGCTTAGGCCCCGCTACGGCCCCTCGTCGGCCCCACTTAGGCCCTGTCGGCCCCGCTTAGGCCTCGTCGGCCCCGCTTAGGCCCCGCTACGGCCCCGCGTCGGCCCCGCTTAGGCCCCGTCGGCCCGCCTAGGCCCCGCTACGGCCCCTCATTGGCCCCGCCTAGACCCCGTCGGCCCGCCGTAGGCCCCGCTCCAGCCCGCCGTCGGCCCCGCTATAGCCCGCCGTCGGCCCCGCTACAGCCCGCCGTCGGCCCCGCTACAGCCCGCCGCCGGCCCCCGCTACAGCCCGCTGTCGGCCCCGCCCCAGCCCGCCGCCGGTCCCGCTACAGCCCGCCGTCGGCCCCGCTACAGCCCGCCGCCGGCCCCGCTACAGCCCGCCGTCGGCCCGCCGTCGGCCCCGCTACAGCCCGCCGTCGGCCCCGCTACAGCCCCGCTACAGCCCCGCTACAGCCCGCCGCCGGCCCCGCTACAGCCCCGCTACGGCCCGCCGTCGGCCCCGCCGCCCGTGCTGCAGCCCGCCGCGCCACCGTGCAGCCGCCCGTGCAGCCGCCCACCGTGCCGCCCGTGAGCAGCCCCAGCCGCCCGTGAGCCGCCCGTGCAGCCGCCCGCGCCGCCCGTGAGCCCCTGCGTCACCCGAGCCGCGCGAGCCGCCCGAGCCGCCCGAGCCGCCCGAGCCGCCAGTGGAGCCGCACTCCTGCTCCTGTGGGGCCACTGATGCTCCTGGGCTGTGTTACTGTGCCGCTGACCTACCCGACTTTTCCTGCCCGGTGAGACTGTCAGCTGCTGTCATGGCCACCCCCACTGTCCTAGCTTTTGACGCTGAGGGTAGAGCCATTGACTTTGCAGTCTGGATTGAAGACCTGCAGCTGTACTTACTGTGTGATGCGATAGATGAGGTCTCTCTCTTTGACTTTGTCTCTGGCGCTGTCCCTGCCCCTCCTGCTGATGCTGACCCCGCCGTTCGCTCCAAGTGGGCGACCCGCGATGCTGCTGCACGTCTTGCTGTGCGTCGCCACCTCCCTTCCTCCGAGCGTGCCCACTTTAGTCAGTGCAAGACCGCTCAGGCCTTGTACGACGCTGTAGTTGCACACTAC